TATTATCCTAGACCTAAAGGATTATACGCGAGTAAATCCTAATGCTCGAAGGACTTATCTGGGATGATTGCTTGTTATTAGTGTGAGATGAGCGCGTCTGACAGAAATGCAGAAGTTGCAGTTAAAAGAAACTCAATCTTTCCTGTTGACCGTTGTACTAAGTTGATATCAGCCAGGTTATAATGGGAAAATATCCATTGAAAAATTTTTGATTTTGTTTGAATGCTTGCAGGTGAGGCTGATGGAGCGCATACCAGGCCCACCTGCTCTGCCACTTCTGGGCAACGCCTTGGATCTCTTAGGCTCCCATGAACGTGAGGAATGATACATAATTATTTAGCTTCTGATACTTAATACTCGTTAAATACCTCATACTCGTCACATACCTCATACTCGTCACATACCTCATACTCGTCACATACCTCATACTCGACACATACCTCATACACGTCACATACCTCATACTCATCACATACCTCATACTCATCACATACCTCATACTCTTCACATACCTCATACTCATCACATACCTCATACTCATCACATACCTCATACTCATCACATACCTCATACTATACTCATCACATACCTCATACTCTTCACATACCTCATACTCATCACATACCTCATACTCATCACATACCTCATACTCATCACATACCTCATACTAGTCGGATACCTCATACTCGTCACATACCTCATACTCGTCACATACCTCATACTCGTCACATACCTCATACTGAAATATCGAGTAATGGGGAGCCAGCCTACGTTGTCTAATCTCCATCGTTGATGCCGCTATTTATTATAGATTCCTTAGATATCTAACCGCTTATCTAATACAAGGTCATTTTAATGAATTTGTTGTGGCTCCAAGTACTTTTGCGAACAAGTTGCCTACTGCATGACATGTAATTTACGGCTAAGTGATTGATCTAAGCCATGGAAATATCCTAGCTTCTTCAGGTCAAAGCCTTCTTCTCTGATTTAGTACAGCAAGAGTTAACATTTTAAATTATAGACTGATTTTGCAGTGATAGTTTGCGAAGAAATTAATTTTAAAAGTGAGTTCCGAAAATTTTACCTTTCGATTGTGCAATTTGTAAGTACTATTTCATTTAAGAGAGTCATTAACACATTCTACTTCTTTCAACTAATGCATTTCTGATGCTACGAACGTGTGATTTTTCATTTTGGCACACATAATTCCTTGATAAATTTATACGATAATAAATTAACAGAATCTGTTGTTTTAACGTCTTAATTTGATGGAAACAAATGTATGTTTTTATTTAATATTACAACTGTATGATATATTCGTGCAGATTTATTTAAAACTATCGTGAACTTCACCAAGTACGGCGACGGCGTCACTCGCATCTACCTGGGACTACAGCAATATTGCCTTCTCAGCAAAGGCCGCACTGCTGAGGTCAGGACCACTTGTGGTGTATGCACGATACAAATATATGTATAAGTATGAATTCACATAACGTGGAAACGTTGAACATTAATATAAACTTATGAAGAATGCTCAACGTTTCACATTCATATAACAAAATTTAACGCAATACTGTATTTCGTGTTAAGTGAATGATTATTTCCATTGTTTCAAGATCATTTTATTGCTTCAATCCATCCTGTGTATTGAAATTGCACAATTGAAGCCTCGTGGAACCAGGCACTGTTGCCGACATCTGGTGGAACTTAACATTATGCTGTATTGCTCAAAAATCTTAACTCTCATAGAACTTCGTTCGTCGTTTGTAATCACCAAGGGCTTCTGGTTGATCTTAACATTATGCAGTGTTACTTAAAAATCTTAACGCTCATAGAATTTCGTGTGTCGTGTCGTTTATCATCACCAGGAGCTGCTGGGCAGCAACGTCCTGATCGACAAGAGCGACGACTACGTATTCCTTTACCCGTGGATCGGCACCGGCCTTCTTACCTCTACAGGTATATTATAATATTGCACAGCACAACATTCAAATGTTCAAAAGAATGAACACTCTTACTATGTCGTTAAAAGCCGAAAATGTACATTTGATAGAAAAGTATTCCCGTGAGGTAGCGCACTTTTATATTTGTATTGTACATGGAGTATTTATTACACCATCAAGACCAAAGAGATGTTTGGTCAAGATCACTGAAATACGTAACTGCAATTATCTGAGTCTGCAACAGTGCAGAACAAACAAAAATTTTTCTGGTGCTACAAACTTCTTGGTCTAATCAGACGCTCTTACGATTTCCTAGAGGCAGAAGCGATGAAGCAGTTGTTTGTTGTTGTCGCGCGCCCGAATCTAGAGTTTGGAAACATCAGAGTTTGGAAACGTTGTGTGGTCACCGAGATTTGAAAAGGACAAAAACTTAATAGAGAATGTTCGTGGTCGTGCAACAAGGAAATTTCCAGGCTTGACGGGCAAGTCCCATGAAGAAAGATTGAAGATTATGAAGCTTCCAAGCCTGTTATCGACGTCTGCGTGGGGACCTCATTTAAGAATACTAGTATACTCGTGATTTATACAAGGTTCTCGAAGGATTACTAGAATTTGAAACAAGAACCAACACCAGAGGCCACGGCTATAAACTACAAAACTGTGCTGCAACTTCTCCACGCGACTACATTTCTTCTCGCTTTGAATCACCGACATGTGGAACAGCCTCCCCGATGACATCGTTGGCGCTCCAAGTATGAACGCGTTCAAGAACTGACGAGATAAAGCTATGGATAAATTGCTGCATTCGGATTAAGAATTTGCAAGTCTCAGCTTTTCTCGCTGTGAGGTGTTTTGGGGTTTTCCATAAAAAATGTGAATTATATATGTTCAGACTTGAATTGCCTAGCACCATATCGAACCCGGTGGAAATCTAGTAGCTATCAAACTATCGTCAGCCTTGAAAATATCGGGTCAAATGACACGGTTTTAGATCTTCTGTGAATCTCGGCGCTGAAGCGTAGGATCGGATTTAGGATTTAGGTTAGGTAATAGGATTTAGATCTCGGCGCTGAAGCGTAGGCCTGATGTGGCCTGTCGCCGATTCTTTTCCTTTTCGTGCCTAGTTCACAGAAGATCTAAAATCGTGTCATTTCACCGGATCTTTTCATGACTGACGATAGTTTGAAGTAGCTACTAGACTTCCACCGGTTTCGATAAGGTGCTAGGCATTTCAAATCTGAACATATATTTTTCCAGAGCTTCATCTCTAGTCTGTTCTTGAACGTATTCATACTTGGAGCGCCAACGATGTCATCGGGGAGGCTGTTCCACATGTCGGTGATTCGAAGCGAGAAGAAATTTTGTCGCATAGAGAAGTTGCAGCGCAGTTTTTTAGCTTATAGCCGTGCCCCTGGTGTTGGTTCTTGTTTCAAATTTTTGTAATCCGTCGGGGACCTTGTATAGACCATGAGTATACTTGTATACTTCAATGAGGTCCCCACGCAGACGTCGTTAACTGAGGCTTGGAAGCTTCATAATCTTCAATTTTTCTTCATAGGACTTGCCCTTCAAGCCTGGAATTATCCTTGTTGCACGTCTTTTAACATTCTCTATTAAATTTCTGTCCTTTTCAAATCTCGGTGACCACACAACGTTTCCAAACTCTAGATTCGGGCGCACGACAGCAACAAACAACTGCTTCATCGCTTCTGCATCTAGGAACTCGTATGAGCGTCTGATCGATTAGTCCAAGAAGTTTGTTGGATGTGTTAGCTTGCGTTTCAGCATGCTTAGAAAATTTCAGCTCCCTGTCGACATAAACTCCGAGATCTTTTTGCACACTAGACTTTTCAATCATTACTCTCTCGCTGCAGCCATGTCTTCTCATACTGTAATCTTGCTGTTCATTGTTATTACCGAGGTGATGTACTTTACATTTGTCAGAATTAAACCGCAGCTGCCACGTATCAGCCCAGTTAACTAAACTGTCAATGTCATCTTGTAATTGCGCTTTATTTGACGCATTCTTCACTGTATTATAAACTTTTGTGTCGTCGACATACATGGAGCACACGCTGGACACTGCTTCTGGCAAATCGTTTATAAAAGCAACGAACAAAATAGGCACAAGAACGCTTCCTTGTGGCACGCCACTGCGCACTGATGCCCAGTCTGACACGGTTCCGGTAATACTGACACGTTGTCGTCTACCTACTAGAATATGCCAACTTACGTCTTTTTCTTCCTCGCGCATGCCAACTAACGGCCTTCTCTCCATCGTGAATGCCAACTTACGGCTTTGTAGTACAACTTGCTACTAATGGCCTTTTCTTCTTCTTCTGTATGCCAACTAAAGGGCTCTTCTCCATCGTGTATGCCTACTCACGTTTTTTCTTCATCGTGTATGCCAATTACCGGCCTTCTATTGCTCGTGTATGCCAATTAACAGACTTCTCCATGGTTGAACTGTTTAATTCAATCATGGCCTTATCTTCGTCTTGTATGTTTACTCATGATGTTTACTCATCGTCGGTCTTTTCTTCTTCTTTAGGTTTACTCGTCGAGCTCAAAAACATATTATTAGTGTTACTGAACTATCAGCCCTGATGTGAACCATCATTGCTATAAATTAATAGTTCGAAAATAAATTTACTTTGTGAGCGTTTTTAAAAGTCAGCGTCAATATTTCCGTAAAACTTATCCCTTGAAACTGCGCACATTGTTTGAAATTCAATAATTTGTAAGAAATGTATTATTTATGCTCATACATGCACTGAAAATGAATTTCTTCATTACAATTCCTAGTTTATTACTTTTTAAGAACTTATTTTTTATTTGATGAGTACTTAAATATGAGAGGATTCAATAATACTCCACAATTGGGTAAAATTTTTGCAACTCTTGAGATCTCCATAGTCGACCAAGTTATGGCCCCAAAATTGTGTTGTTACTCGTCTCTCGAAGATACTTTATGCTTCTCTAATACTCTAATTCCATATGTTTTTTGTTCTCATAAAATACAATATTATAATTTATAATCTATTCGGCTATGTGCAGGCCAGAAGTTTGCCCTGATGGAAGAGAAGGTCATGATGGCGCATTTCTTACGCACTTATGAAGTGACTGCCAAACAGAGCTTCCAGGAGCTTGGCCTGCTAGGAGAGCTAATCCTACGTCCTGACCATGGTGTTATGGTCACTCTGCAGCGCCGGAAGTGATAGGTTCTACTTCATGAAATAACAGTGTAATTAATGCAGATAATCATGAGGGTGAGTGCGAAAAGTCGGTATTGAGAACGTGAACCGAGGAGCGTGCTTGCAAATAGTGAAAGCACGCAATCATCAGGTCCAATATTCTTGTCTATTGTAGGGTGGAGATGAGCATTCAACAAGTCTTATATTCTTATCTATTGTTGGGTGAATACAGGCATTCAATTTGTATGTTTAAAACATCTACATCCAGATTTTAATCTCACGGCACAATAAACTACAATCCGTAATGAACGCTGCTGCTCGGCTCGTGTGTTATAAGCAAAATTCATCCACGTGACGCCGATATCACGCGACCTTCACTAACTGCGCATGCAGCAGCGCACGCTGTTCAAGGTCGCTGTTCTGACGTTCCGATGCATTCAAGTTTTGGCGCCTTCTTATCGCGCAGCAGACCCTTAAAGGTCTGCTGCTCGCGTCGGATCTGACTTCTAGAAGGCGACTGCGCTCGTCATCAACAGGGGACATCGTCGTACCATCTACACGTCTATCTACCGTCGGGGGCAGAGTTCCCTGTCGCTGCCGCAAAATTCTGAACTGGTCTGCCGACTTCCTGGTCTGCCAGCTTCCATAACAGCGGGTCTATCGCCAGTGCTTCGTCGACACCTAAAGACTGAACTATTTCGTATAGCCCATGAATCTTGTGATTTGTTATTATTAATTATCCGTTCGACCGTTCATATCCATTCGCGCGCCCTTTTATTAATCGCTTGCTATTAAACTTATGAGTAACGTGCCCTCGAGGTTCGTTCGACCTAGACGCCTCGAAAATCGACTCGTGGAAAAAATATAACACGATAGTTCACTGACACTGCAGTCACCCTAAAGCCAGGACCATGGATGAGCATGCTATGGCTTCCTTTCTTTAATGTGTAAAACGCGTTTCTAGTACATATTTACTTTTTTTACATGCAGCACGCATTTTTCACAACGCCGACGCCATGATTCCATGGCCGCTGCGAACGCTTCTTAAGGTGTATATGTTGTGACCACTGGAAATTTGCTGTCGCAAGAGCTACCTGGCTGAAGTATGTCTTAGTTGACGTAATTCAGCCAGGCATAATATTTGGTTATATTTTGCATTCTTGTGGAAGCTTTTAGTTTTTTTCTGGCGTCTTCAGAGATATTCAGTTTGAAAAAAAGCGTTAATCTAGTCTTTCCATTTTATTTTTTGTCAGAATTTTGTTCGTCGAAGTAGAATCTTTTCCTTTGTGTTGTTTTGTTCTGTTTTGATTTTTTAATTCAATATTTAAGTCTCCTAGAAACCTTTTACTCACGTACCATTCATATTCATAATTGGCTTGGATTATAAAATATCAACTGCTCAATCTTAATGTATTTTGCAATACAATTTTGTGGCATTAAATATATGTTGATTTTCCTTACTTGATAGTTTTTCCGATTAAAATTATAATTTATGTCATAAACGATTTTTATTCGAGGCTTTTACACATAAAAAAAATTCAGCCGTTGTCCTGAAACATTTTATTTGTACTCTTAACCAACTTTTTTGAAATACTCGTACTTCCTTCAGACCTAAATACGCATAAAATTGTACTGCGATTGATTATAATTTAAATGCATTTTTAACTATTAATTACCTATTGTAAATAAATAATCAATGGCACGTTTATTTTCCGTAATGGTGATAATTCAAGCAATTAACAAAAACGTTAAAGATTCCGAAGATCGAATGATTTATTAAAGCTATGAAGGTAACGTTATTTCTGTCTGATTTCAAAACCTAACAATCATGAGATGCACATACAATAAAATTTAAACTAATCAATGTTTTCCAAATGAAAAAGAAGATTATGAGGTTAAATGAATGAACCGTTCGAACTAATTCAAATACTTTTCGCTGATTGATGCTTAAGATTGATTATATCCACAGAATTTCAGTCCGTTCATTAGAAAACTAGAACGCATTAAAGTGAGGTCGGGAAATTGAATCAAAATAATTTCACCGTAATTAATTATAGTTAGGAACGAGCCTCTTTTCCGTTGCCATGGTTTCGGTTCGGCCACTCAATGACCTCCGAGAACATATCATTATACATATTTCTGTACGACTAAATCATTGTTCAAAACATTATTTCATTATAAGATTCTATACAAAGTCATTAACACAATATGAATTAATATGGCGGCCCATGCAGAAAATTTACTGAACATGTTTCTTCGTGACTCTCCAGCCACATTTTACCGGTTGTCATGGCAACCGCTTCATACAATCGCATAACTAAGGCGGCAAATTGTCGCTGCTACAGCTGCCTTGGTTGATGTAACTGGAAAATTTGCTTACTGCACAGAGGTAAGGCACTAAATGGATGATTAAATTATCGTACACACTACAAATGCAATTATTTTGCTAAGCATTTCCTGTATTGAGGCCACTTTTGGGGTAATCCTTGCCATTGGATTTTTAGCTGACGCAAATACTGAGATACTTAGAAATTAGACACCGTATAATTTAAAAAATAGGTATTGAAAACCGGAGCCATGCACTGAATGAAATATATGACTCAGCGCATTGAACTACAGTACAACTATAAACTTTTCAATATAAAAGCGTCAAAGTCACAATTTTAGGGACCAAGAAGTTTCGCTATTTTGCCAGAAAGTTTACCGTCAGTTCGTGATCTGTTGAACGTTATTCTGCATCCGTGGTTCAATTAAATGAAGAAAAAGAAGAACAATGTATCGCTAGTCTTTATCGGACAGCTAATTAACAAACCTTTGCTATCGTGTGTCTCGACTGCCATCTCATGTACTCTGGTCGATTGCAGGAAATGACGGCAGTGATAAGAACTGATGTATAATCTAAAATAATTACTTAGCGCACAGTGGGATGGAAGGCGGGGGCAGATTGGGAACAGCTGACGCCCGGGCTCAGTGTCTCGAGCTCAGCGGGGCAGCGGCTGCAGGCCAGACTGTGGAGAGGAAGCTGGGCACAGCAGACGCCCGAGCTCAGTGTCTCGAGCTCAGCGGGGCAGCGGACACAGACCGGACTGCGGAGAGGAAGCTGGGCACAGCAGACGCCCGGGCTCAGTGTCACGAGCTCAGCGGGGCAGCGGCTGCAGGCGTGGCAGCGGCAGTGGCAAGAGAGGAAGAGAAGCTACAGCAGCTAGTCGCCCATGGATGTTCACTAGTAAGAGATCAGCACATTATTTGGTCACAAAGTTCGTCGCCCATGATGAGAAAAATAATTCATGCTAGAGCCTAATACACTTACAAAATAATATAAATTAATTCTTAATTAAGTCGGTTTGTAGAAACATTCATCCAAGCATTTTATTGAACACTTTTACAGCAATCCTCTTCTCAATAAATAACAATAACTGTGGTTTTCAATTATCAGCTCTTCCTTAAAAGGCATAATTGAGCTTTTGAACACTCATTTCAATTTGTATAGATGCAAATGCAAATAAAATAAAAAGACTGGAATATGCTTGAGAGCGTAGTTTTATCTTTCGATTCAACCGAAACTATAAGTAAACTGTTGCATTTGACAATATTATTCCATTTTGGTTTGTGTCAGAAGGTGTATAAGTAAAAATATAATTACTTGCTCATTCTAATTAGAATAAAACTAATCCAACATTTTTCGTTCCAACAAGTAAAGTTAGACTTCGGTTATTTTTCCATCGTGTCAATCTTGATCAATCCAGGCGATCTTGATAATTTCATAACATATTCATCCACTTTTAAATGTCAGCGTCTATTAATTCTCACATTTTTTAAATCAAATATTATGAAAATATGGCCGGTATTGTACGAAATTAAAAATACTTATTATTGTTATTGCTTATAACTTTCTGCTTGAAAGTTTCAATGAAAGAAATACATAGATTTTTAACGAATTACGAGCCTATTTTTGCTGTCAATAAACTTTTTCCCACGAATTTTACGCCTTGTGTAGGTAGGCAACCTGGAGGTGGCCGCTGTGAGCGCCAATGTGGTGGCCCAAGTGGCGAGCGAGAGCAGCGAGGCCAAATGGCGGCAGACTTTGGAGGACAGCATGAGAGCGGCCACTGAAACGCTGAAGAAGGTGGAGGACCAGTGGAAAGTTGCGGTGGACCAGCCGGTGCCTGAAGATATGGCAGAACACCTCCGACAACTCAGAGGTAAGTTGGTTGCCTCTAATGGACCATTAGATCAAGATTGAAGGATTAACTTGGATAGAATGATACTGAGGGACTAATTGGATAGAATATAATTGAAGGATAAATTGACCAGATCGAAATTAGGAGTGAAGCTGCTATTGAGATTAAAGAGGTGTCATTAGCATGACTGGTTAAATGACTAATTTTTCAATGAAATTTAGGCACAAACCAATTACGACGATTTACTTGTCTGCTCTCGGCAAAGTTGAAACGAAAACTACTCATTGTTTTGAAGATGGAATGCGGGTGAACATTATTAATAAGCGTGGCGGTTACTCTATGGCAAAAGAAATCGGCTTCTAACACTTTTTTACAGTATCAAAGACTTCATCATTCTTGCATTTTTCATTATTAGGTTCGTGAAGTGAGTTGCTCACGACTTAAAATTTACTTAATTATAGCTACCAATTACTTTTTAACCATTTTGCTTCACGCGTGATGTGAAATCTGTAACGTGTGACGTGCCTGCAGAGGAATGTGAGACTCTGCTGACAGAGAAACGGTCGATCGTCAGCCGCCTACGTCAGGAAATAGAGGTCCTTGATGAGAAGTTCCTCGAGGATGTGCAGAAGCTGCGCTTGAAGAGACAGGAGCTCATCAGGAGGCTCGCTGAACACCTCGAGGAACTGAGCACAGCTTCTCACGATACCATCAGGCACCTTCAGGTAGCGGCTGCTCACTGTATTTATGATCGTAAAGGCCCGTTCACACTAGGGGCAACACACGAGAGTCAAGTGCCTCAAAGCGCATGCAGAGGCGCTTTGCAGCCTCTGCATGCGCTTCTTGACCGATTGACGAGCTAGCGATTGACAGGGGCCATGCCTCATGCAACACAAGCGCGGCGCTTATAGTAGATAGCTATTAAAGAATTGATATCACTTGTATGCTTAAATCGCAAATTAACTAAGAATTTAAATTAAATTGAAAATTTAAATCAAATTAAAAATGTAAATTAATTAATTAAAGAAATTCAATTCGTTCTATGGTTTCAATGTATTAATTTGTGACTTCTGATTTGTGACTCTAGATTCTAGGAACTGACGATGGAGCTGGTCTCCGGAACGTTTTCTATAAAGATATGAATTTTTGTGGACTATTCTTTGCTTTTAAATTATTAGTTAGTAGATAGCTGTCTGTGGTCTAGAAAGGTTGATTGTGTACGCTGGTCCGGCACACCAAATGTCGACTAACACCACTCTCTTTTGGAGTCACTCTCTAGTAGAGAGCCTAATTGATCTTTATAAAGAAAATGAATGCCTATGGAGTGTTCGGTCAAAGGAGTACAAAAATCGAAATGCAAATGATGTAAGTTATTTTTACATGACGTGTTTAGTTTATGTGATTTTAGCAACTCCTGACAATTTGTGCATTACCGTTTAGCAATTTCAAAGGATGATATAATATCGGTACGAAAATTGGAACTTTTTATTTAAGAAAAGACTATATTTTTTATAAACTGTATCTTTTTGAATGTGCTAGTTCTCTAATTTTGATGCCTATGCTAAATTCTCGTTTACAACTGGCATAGTGCGAAGAATGACGGACCGCAGAACACCCGAGAACAATGGCCCACAGCTCAAATTCGGCTACATCCATCCTCATTGACGTCTAGGTGGCAACTAAGTGTTCTAAGCGCTAAAGCGCACGGTCTCAAACTACCGAGTACAAAAGTAGTGTGAACGGTTGTGCGCGGTAAGGCACTGCAGCAAACGACTCAGAGCGCATGTCGTTGCCACTAGTGTAAACGGGCCTTTAGACTCAAGCTGTTTGGCCTCCGCCGCACCGTAGAAGATAAATTTCTTTGACAAAATAATGGTAAATATATAATGCTTAGAATTATATTAAACTTACATATTTATTGGTCCTCAGAGCTTCTTCTGTTTTATTGTTTTATTTCATAAACCATGTTTAATTATAGGTTGTCACCGAAAATGAGAGAGAGGCGCTGGTGCAGCGCTGCACTGAGATCTTCGATGCAGCACTCGCTGAGTTCAGCTCAGATCTGGAGGACATGTTACGCCAGGAGCTGAGAAGCGGAGATCTAATGCAGGATCAACTCATCTCAGCTCAGCTGGAGCCTTCGACTGACAGTCGACGTACGCTGGCTCAGCTCGAGATGAAGTGGCAAGAAGTAAGTGAAGGCATTCAAGCAAATTCAAATTATCGATTATGTGGATCTAATGTTGGTCAATTCACTTAATTAGGATTTATTACATTCCATTCCTTGATATTCCCAAATAATAAAAATAGCTGAACGTCAAGCACAAACGTCAGTATGGTAGCCATAGGTCGAAGAATATTGATTCTGACCATCACATAATAGATCATAGAATATTTCATCATGATTATTATCATGATTTCCCATTCAACTGCTATTATTTTTGCTGTTAAAGTCACATATATGTTATGATGAATCATATATCAGTGCATACAAACATGAATAGTTCAATAATATCGAAGAAAATGTGATAATCCTTTCATTTTGAGAATATAAATATAATAAGAATGGTAATTAATGAACTCATTCATCAATGACTCTCCCATTTAATATTCGACGAATTATAATTAAACGTCTTACTAACAGGTTCACTGAGAGAAGAATTAACAAATAAGATGATGTAATAATATTATTGAAGCAGATCCACTGAAACGTTTATTGAGACTTTAGGATTCGATTCCATAAATATTGAAGAACTATTGATTCATTTTTTAGGCGAAGTCCACAATAATATGAACACATTGAACATGCACCCTGCACCAACTAAAGCATTTTTATTTTAGGACTGCATTAAACGTCATTTTTATGCACGTTGGAGTTGTTCATTTTGTTATGAATGACCGTTTTTCCTGTCGTTATATATTAAACTAAAAATTCTCTCCGAGATTAACATTTTATTTAATCACTATATACATCAATTAGTTTTTGGCTTTAACATTTTATTTAATCACTATGTACATCAATAATTTTTTGGCGTTTCACAGCACAAGATGGAGGCGTCTGCTCTACGTCTGCAGCGTTGCCTGGATCGTCCTCGCCTGCAGTATCGCCTGCATCTCCTGCAGCAGCAGCAGCAGGCGGCTGCAGAGCAGCTCAGCTGCGCCCGCAGACTCATCATTTGTCTGCGTCCTCAGCTGCAGCTGCATAGACGCAAGGCATGCAATATTCATATTTCATGGCATTTTTAATACATAATATTATACATTGTATATATAATGTATAATTCCAGTCCTACTCGAAATATCTCATGAATTACTTATAAATTTTATGTATTTGTTTTTTTTTAATCTGACCTTTATCAAAGAGGGTTCAACTTGAATTTCCTGTTAGTTCTTTTGATGTGGAAATCCTTTGCGTCAGAAATCGAGCCTCAGAACAATAATTTTCATTACAATTTCTACATCAAGTAGTAATGGATTGTTTAAAAGCCATGCATAATACATACGCACCTTAACTCTTTTGTCAAGAACTAGTTAATATTTAATTTAAGTATGAATACTGAATCATTGCTCTAAACATTTTTCACATAACATTTCAATCACTCGAGACCTAACTTATATTATAAATACTTAATATGATATAAAATTATAAATTGTACATGTATAAAAATTTCTTGATAATAATAAGTTATATGCAGTCAATGAATCATTTGTTAAATTTATGTCTGGTCACAGAAGGAGCAGGCGAAGCATCAGGCGGAAAAGAAACGAGAATCTCTGCTGCGCCGCCTGCAGCTGCAGCAGCTGAGCGTCCGGCAGCTGCACGACCGCTGCACCTGCAGGACCGTGCACCTGCAGCAGCTGCAGCGAGGCGTCGCTACGATGCATTGCGATGCACTTGCTTCACTGCTGCTGCAGGTGATTGTGATGTTTGGTGCCTGTGTTGCGGCAGGTGATTGTGGTGATTGGTGACTGTGATGTGACAGGTGATTGGCGCCTGTGGTGCTGCAGGTGATTGTGATGATTGGCACCTGTGATGCTGCAGGTGATGATTGTGATGATTGGCACCTGTGATGTGCAGGTGATGATTGTGATGATTGGCACCTGTGGTGCTGCAGGTGATTGTGATGATTGGCGCCTGTGGTGCTGCAGGTGATTGTGATGATTGGCACCTGTGATGCTGCAGGTGATGATTGGCTCCAGTTGTGCAGTAGGTAATGACTGCAATGAGTTGCACCCAACTCAAACAATCCAATCCCGTTGATGCAGAAGCAGATTAACAGGCAGGTCCTTTCTTCTTGCTGAACGATATTTGCCGGCATCACTACCGGTATAACTATTACAATCGTTGTAATCTTTTAAAACTACAATCAGATGCAATATTTTTTCTTTTTCTGAAGGTTCGAAAGTTTCCTCTAAATTTCAAAACTCGCCGCCTTCATGTATTACGTATAATTCTGAACTGAAACCTAATTCAGCTAAAAAAATTTTCTAATAGAAAAATTTTGTACAAATAAATGTATTTGTACAATATTTATTTGTACACTTCGTATATATTTATTTTGTACAATTCATACAAATGTATGAATTAGTACAAATAAAATAGACTTTTCAACATTAAACTGCAACACGACGTGCCAGGTTCAGGAGCTGGAGCGTCACATTGAGGCCCGCGTGCTGGGGAGAGACGCGCTGCCTGCTGGAGACGCCGCCGTGGAGGAGATGCGGACGCTGGTCCTCCAGCAGCCGCCCTTTGCTGACACCAGCATCAGGGGCGCCGCTGTCATCATCAAGGCTGCCTCTAGTGCTGGCATAAGATGAACAATTAATTTATAAAGCTGCTTGTTCATTTTCTTCTTTCCTGTGATGACTTTAAATACCTCATCATTGTTGGTTTTGCTTTTTCATATGCCTTTTTCACTAGCTTGATCGCTTCTGAATGTTTTTGATTGTTTATTTACTTCCTTGTAATTAATTCAAATGTTTCATTCATCCTTGAATAATATAAAGGCACATCTGTGTGAGAAAGTCACATGCGTAAAGAAAACCCTATACCAACATATGGAATTTCTCTCATTACTTCTAAAAACTTCGAAGCACAGTAGTATTCAATACTATTAGAACTTCAGTAAATCGTATATATTATTTATTGCAAACTGTTCCATGTAGTTTCACTTAAGGAGGCTGAGATCAATTATTAGATATATGTATTTACATATTCATACAGTCTCTCTTCATATGCATTTAAAAAAATTTCAACTCCTACGCTGCTTTATTTTAGTTTATAACAACCGAAGAAATACGTTCATGTAAACGCAAAGTTTAATCCTATGATTAATGCTATCTTCAATTAAGTTGACGTAAACTGCAGGAAGATTCGTTAATTTGGTAACCGTTTTGCAAACTTCGCGTTGGTGATCGTGTTGGATGATGGAGTCCAAGATAAGCTCAATTAAATTGAAGTATTCTGAAAAAATATTCCGAAGATCGACGACCGCGACCAAATTGCGATTTTGTCCTAGATTTATGCAGGCTTAAATTACGTTGATGTAATCTGAAGAAATGTCCGTTAATTCTGTTGTAGTGTTGCAATTTTGTCCTGATTTATGCAAGCTTAAATTAAATAGGCATTATCTGTATAAAGGTTCTTTAATTCATAACCGTGTTGCGCAGGGGGTGCTTCTGATCCCCTGGATTGCACCGACTCCGCGTCCGCATGTCAGTCGGAGAACTCGGAGCTCGAGAAGGCCTTCCTGTTGGGGATGGTGGAGGCCGCGGCTTTCTTGGTGCCTGTCGACAGATTATCGCACTTGAAGGGAATAGAATCGTCAGAAGACGACGCCTTACTCAAACTTGAACATATTTTTAAGGTTAGTGTGCGAAAATTAAATAGCAACAATTAAACGAAACGAGAAACAATCAAAGATCGTCTTCGATTTGATTAATTTTGATAACTTGTGACTTCGTTTTGATAAATTTTCGTTGCATATATTTGATCAATTTTCACTACTTGAAAACAACAAAACAATTTATTTGTATTTAAATAAGTTATTTCATTTATTTTATATTATTTATAATTAATTTAATTTAGAATTTGGCTGATATAAGAATAATGAAAAGAATGCATCAAACAACTCAATTATTGATGAAGCAAAACTGATAAACATCCGAATCACATCATAGAATGGATCCAAGAAATGAATGAACTAGAACTCGTATGGCTGACTGATTCTAGATGACGTGTCGCAGGAGAGCGCCACAACGGAAGGCTGTCTCTAGAATGAAGTTACGAAATTGTTATAACAATTGTTGCACTTTAGAAAATAGTGTACAATTGGATACCTGCATCGCCATCGATAACAATCTAATAAAGATAAAAATCGCTGGCGAGACAAATTTCAATGAGTTTATAGCCAATTAATAAACCGGTCTCATTTGATTAAGACATCTACCCGCACGCCGTCTATCGCAATTTTATTTCTAAAAATATGTAAAATCATTTTTTATATTATAATTGTAAATAATATATTAGGTAAATAAAGACAAATAATCTCCTTAATCTTCCATATTAGGAAGTTGGGATCAACTCAGGCGAAGACCTCAGCGTTCTGCTCGCCGTCGCCCGCAAAAGGAAGCGACAACGCGGAGGACAAACTTCCTCATCCATCGCCATCAGAGAAGCGTGAGCAGCGATTGTCTTTTATCTCTTATAATCTTATCACCATCAGAGAAGCGTGAGCAGCGATTGTCTTTTATCTCTTATAATCTTATCGCCATCAGAGAAGCGTGAGCAGCGATTGTCTTTTATCTCTTCTAATCTTATCGCCATCAGAGACGCGTGAGCAGCGATTGTATTTAATCTCTTCTAATTTCACACATCATTTCGAGTTCCATTTTCATCAACCTGCAAAAACTTGTATCCTCACTGCGTCCGTGCTCATATCGAATAAATTACTTACAAAATTTTGCATGCTAAGCTATTGAATTAAATGTAGGTTTTTAGTTCGTTTGTCATTTTGATCCCTTATCTATTTTCACTAACCAATTTAAAAAAAAAATATTTAAAGATATTATGCGTCAGCCTCTGTAAAAGTTGAAATGAATAAAACATGTCAGATTATTTTTTGCGTCCAACAGAAATGGCTGCGTTGACACTGATGAATCGCTGGGCAGCGAAATCGAAGAATTCACGAACTCAGAAATTCTCGACGTGCTCATCGAATTTTCAACATTGCAGTAATTACAGAAGATGCTTAGTGTTGTGAATACGAAAAATAATTTTCCTACAAATGCCTTGCTTTCGGTTGTTATTTTTATTCACATGCAATTGCAAATATTTAATTGAATTTACACGTAATAACAATGAATTGCACAGTTTAAGGGATGACTTAATCAAGTTGGTCAGCTAATTTTCCTCGTACTTACTAGCAATATTTTCCTCCCAAGTTTTTTCTTCCTGCAGTTTGATTTTATTCCTATCATATGAATCATAAAATTAAAAATGGACCATTTTTACACATTGGAGATGCATATATACAGGTTAACTTAGTAAGTTTGAAAATAAATTATCACAATCTGAATGCGACTAATACGTATTTAACCGTGTTAAATACATGAGCGCTTTCATTCAAGTTATTTAGTCGATACAAATGTGTAGATAATTGAGGAAAATCATGCTAAGAAAATAATGCAAGCGTGCCAATAAATATTAATTGCTCAAAAAGGATGATACAAGATTATGACTAATAGTAATTGAGCCATGAAATAATATAGACTATAATACAATTTAATCTGAATTTCAAAATCTGCGCTAATCAGTTGATTTGGTCGAAGCAATAAAACCACATTCTTATCAGAGGAACGGCGCAGCAAGGAGCAAGAAGCGCTGTGCATCATCTCTCAGCTGACCGTAAGTACATGAGATGGACGTGTAAACTGGATAAATATTATAAAAAATGAAATGACAAGTCTATTTAATAAGGTCTTTGTTTTCAATGCAAATCATGTATTACTTAATTTTGTCCATTCTGATGTTTTCGTTCGTCATATGAAAATTTTGTTTTTCCGACAGCTGTTCTTTTTAGCGCATTTTCTCATTTATGGAAAAAATGCACTATTGTGCTCGCCATTTCCGTCTGTCTGTCTGTCTGTCCGTCCGTCTGTCCGTCCGTCCGTGACCTCAAGTTTTCGTCGACGAGAAAGTGCGCTCTCTGTCACTCACTTCCGTGAGTACTGAGTTATATCTTTTTAATGGTTTCAACTGCATTTGACTACAATAGAAGGAATGCCGCCGAGAAAAGCACGATATTTTACTCATGCGACGACTGGTATTATTAGTTACAATAACCGGAATATTGTTTAACTACACATCAGATGAAGTTATTTCTGATGTTGGTCACTCACTCGCTCCTGATTCGACTTTCGATTAAACAAAGTGACAGAGAAGAGAAAAAACATGTTAATGGTTCATATAATTACCTCATAGTTCTTATTTCACTAAAACCCTTTACCACAACTATGTTACCTCTAGTCTAATAGTTCTCTGAAATAACACCCCTGAGTAGTACTTGATCTTGTACACCAAATGAAGGTTCTAGATTCAGAAATTATCGATGAATGGTGATTTCCAGGTGCTAATGGAGATGGTCCAAGCCTATTGAGCTCCGACGAGGACCGAAGATGGCAGACATTTTTGAATGAGCTTTGCTTGGGGCGGCAGCGAACCTGGCACATCGCGGCACGCGTCGTGACGGAATACCTGACCGCGTTGCAGGGTACGCACGCAGCACTGTCCCTCTACCGCCTTAACTATAGTGAACAATGCTATTGCGGGGACAAAACGTAACGTTGCTGAAATTTATAGACTGGAAAAAATTTTAACCCGTGATATATATGTCCATCTTGTCGTAGAGTAGCCTGAAATTGAAGGAGATATATTTATTCAATTGGTCTTCATAAATAATCAACGCCATTTTGAGAGGCGACATATACATGCGTACTTACGTACAGCTGGACGCTAATATAGAGGTTTATGCATATCAACGCAGAACAATGATCAGTTTTTAATGATTAGCATGAATTTATTTAACGTCGGTTCGTATTTGATTGATTGCATAGAAAACAATTTGAACATGAGAATGTGAAATAACTTTCATAACGCTGCATATTCATTTGAAAATATACAAAGTTATGTTAAGCGCTTCATTTATTTGAGCCAAATATATGATAAATTTCAGGGTATAAGACCAACGGTAACTTTAGAAAATTACTTAAAATACGGGTTGAAGGCTCGTAGTTTAGATTAGATTAATTTTAATATATATTGGCATCAAGGGGAGCATTTTATATCATGATTAGTTATGTATTTATAAGAAGCTTGAATGTTCAGTCGTCTCATTGGCAATTTATTGCCAAACTAAGTTATAATTCGTTACGGATCTCCTGAGGATGAAAGAATATGTCAATTCTGTGTAAAGATGATGCAGTTATTTCTTTTTTAATTGTTCTTATCGAATATCACGAATGGATTTCAGTGTATTGAAGTTTGTTGAGGAAATTAAGAGGAGAGTTCCAATGTTAGTGTTAACTCGTTGAGCGCGGTACTCCCCATCCGTGGATTGTCGGGTCTTTTTTACCGGAAAAATTCCATGATTTATTTTTTTATTGCGTCAGCCGATAAAAATTTATGATAGGGGTTCTTCCTTATTAAATATGAAAAAGTACTAAAAAATGAACACTGAATTTTGCACCGGAATCTACAATGTGCTAATAAATATTGAATTATAAGCCTTTTTTGTTAGGAATATCAAAGAAACAAATTTCTGTATACCTTTTTTTTTATTTCAGAAGAAAGCGGTAGATAAAAAATGTCGCTAAAAGAGAATCTATGCGTAATTTAATTTGCTCTCTCAATGACTCATCATGAAGTCGATTAAATAAGTATAAGATGACTATTCAAGGCAACGTGTGCTTGGGCAGGTCGCGCTCAGGATGAAAGAACCGTGGCAGAGCTGCGGGTGAAGGTGGCTGAGATGCAGAGGCTGCTAGCCTAACTTTGTGATCAAACGCAACCCACCAGACGTCAGAGGTTGAAATGACGTCGAATTCAACGAACTCAACTCGTGATTACCGTTGTTTAAACAAAGTCAACTCGTGAATAACTTTGTTTCAACAAAGTCAACTTATAGTAAACAATGTTTCAACGAAATCAAATCGTAATCTACGTTGTTTCATCGAAATCAAATCGTAATCTATGTTATTTTTTTAATCAAGTGGTAATCAACGTTGTTTCATCAAAACGAAATCGTAATCAACGTTGTTTCATCGAGATCAACTCGTAATCAACTTTTTTATCATAATCAACTCGTAATTATCGTTGTTTCATCGAAATCAAATCACAATCAACATTTTTTCTTCGAAATCAACTCGTAATCATCGATGTTTAAACGAAATAAACTCCTAATCAGCGATGTTTCAACGTTATTTACCTGGAGGGAAATCTATCCCTGATCTTCTCCCAAATCAATCGGAATTATCGAATGCCCAGTAAAATTAATTAACATTAGATAGTTGTTTGGAATTTATTCATATGAACGATTGTCATTCATTTATTCTCACTTTATTGTAGTTAGTTTTTAACCTAGTTTCACACATAAGCCATGGTCAATGGTTAAACATTTTTAGTGAACCACGTGTAACATGTCGTTGACGAAATTTCCAACCCAAATTTATCAGGAAATTTCTCATCCCAATTTAACATTTATCACGGTGAAGACTCATCCTAATTTATTTCGACAACAGAGGCTGACATCAACTTTCCTAGCGTCAGAACGTTCCCCATAAATTGACGCAAGTCGATGCCTTATTTTATTTTATTAGTATTCTTTTTTTGGTTTGTTATGAAGTTCATCATGCTACCCAATCTCTGCAACGCTAAGCCCTATGGGTCTCTGTTTCACTCATATCTCTCACCAAGGATTCCAAGCGCATATAAAACTCAATGCGATACTCGTCTAAGGAAACGGCCCGCGAGTATTACAGTAAATTAATGTTTTAAACATTTATGTCAATATGTTCTGACCCTCACGTGAGTTTATATGCCATGGTGTAACAAATCGTAGGTTTTCTCTCATTATAAAGGAAGGTAAATAGCTTTAAAAACTTTTATGGGAATTGAGAAGTTGTAATGGAAGATTTCGACGTCAGACAGTTTTAGTAACATATATTTGAGACAAATTCAGTTAACAATGAACACACTGTACTTATCTTCACGACAAGATATTCACAGTGTAGCTTAGGCATAATCAAATGTCTTCTAAATTAAAATCAGAAATCAATATTCCTGAGCAGTGGTATCTTAAAAGTACTAGTTATCGCTTAGCGGAACAACAACGAACAAAATATCAGCAACAGAAACTTACATTCAAGATCACATCCTCAAGAGGATGATAAAAGAGAAAATCCTACTCAGGCTATTTTGGAATCATGATCCTCATATGGATGATAAAACGGAAATCATCCTCAAGCCGCCCGGAAATCATATTCCATCATCCTCACCATCCTCCTCATCATCAACCGCCCGGAAATCATATTCCTCATCAACCTGATGAAGGGGGAAATCATCCTCTAACTGCCTTCAAATCATCTACCTCGAGACAGACTCAGAGATTGAAGTTGGAGTAACGGTTAATGGGATTGACGATGAGTTGTCTGAAGCGCCCCATGAAATTTCTGAAAGTTCGGGGCTCTGAAGGATAGTTCATGCCTCCCGCTGCTCTCATGATGGGCGCGCTGACGGAGTTCATGAAGCGGGAGAAAGGGCGGTAGGAGGAGGCCTGGGGACGAGGAGCTCGGGCGTGTCGACTGTTCAATGGCCCAGCAAAATATTTCTCAGGCCGACGACCTGAAATATCAGGCGGAATTACTTCGAGAAATTTGTCGCCATGTTCATCTTGAATATATATCCTTATGTTATTAACGATTATTGTTAGCAAATTTAGCGCCATGTTCATCTTGAATATATATTCTGATGTGATTAGCGATTATTGCTAGCAAATTTTCCGCCATGTTCATTTTGGATATTTTTCTAATATGATAAAGTAATTTTCGAAATAAATTCTTTTCTTAGTTATGCATGAAATAATTCGATTATACAAAAAAAAAATTTTAGAATTTATAATTCATGAATGAACGTCTTCCAAATTTATTCAGCTCAACAAAGTGCACATGATCTACGAAAGCATTGGCAAATAAATTATATTTGCAAAGCATTAAACAAAATTTATTACATCTATAAAACTATTGGCATGCAAAATAGTTGCTCCACGCATAGCTCCAATGTAGATTGTAGGAATTTGAACTGACGATGGAGCAGGACTCCGAAACGTTTTCTCATACAAAGAAACGGTGAATTTCCTGAATATTTTCTTTTTTTCTAATTCTTAGTGAATTTGCGATCTAAGCAGTTAAGTGATCTTCCTACATACATCCAAGGAAGGTACAGTTCGCTGATAAAGTGTATTAAGATTTAATGACTATTGCGTATGTAAATTCAATAATTTTTGGTTGGAGTCCATGGTGATCGATTTTATCAGAAATATTCGCTATTCGCTCCACAGACCAAGATTACCGAAATTGAAAGGCAGGAAATTGCTTTCTTTCTCGAGTACTTTTGTAACTGAAGAAAACGGAAAAGACTTATTTTATATACAGACTCACGGTCAACTTTGTAGCGGACGCTCCGCCCCTCGTCTTTGCGTGGTTGAAGCTGAAGCCCTCCTGCTTGGTGCGGCCACCGTCGCACCAAGGGTTGTGGGCGCTGCAGAGATAATGATGGGTAGTGTTAGTGACATGCGCTACTCCAGGTAATGACATGCGCTACTCCAGGTAGTGTGCACTACAGGTAGTGACTACACGTTGCACTACAGGTAGTGACACGTTGCACTACAGGTAGTGACACGTGGCACTACAGGTAGTGGCACGTGCTACTCCTGGTAGTGGTATGCGCCATTCCAGGTAGTGACACGCGAATTTCCCAAATAAACTTTTGTAACTATTTGTTACAAAATTATTTGTCGTTACTTTGTTTTGTATTTGCTATCATCCGAGTTTATTCTTACTGAATTAGGTTATAAAGTGAACAATGGATTAAATGTTCATACCATTGCACCGGCTGAGTGTTGGTGCAGGGCTGCAACGAAGGCGAGAAGTACCAGAAGTAACAGACGACCATTTCCCGTAGCCATTCTAGTTTATTTTCCCTGAAACTGAAATGCGGTTAAGTTTAGATTTACAACGATAATGTAACTGATAGATTTTACATAAATCAAGTTTTTCGCTGAAATGTTGTCACTACCTGCCAAAAATTGTACTAAAGTTTTCTTCATTTGGTCTATTCGAGACGTAAGCAGCCCATGTAATGGATTAATTTTTCCATGATAAAAAGTCACTTTGTTAAGTTCGAGACTATCTATTGAGTTGCTAAATCTATTGTATTTCCCTAGCTTCCACATAGCTAAATGTTAGATGATCACGCAATAAAATGACTCAAGCGTTCTCACTCATTAGCACATCGAGGATAGGAAGCAGTAAATATAGCTCACAAACGTATATTCCTTATCACAAAAAAATCCGATTGATGGACAACTTTTCACAATTATTTGCTACCACTTCATGAATTTACTAACAACTCACTCTTTGAAAAAATCGTAAGCCTCATTAGTCAATTTAATTGAAAACCGCTAATTTTTTAAAATGACTTATTTTTTCCGAAATATTCTGTTCACAATTAAAGTAACAGAAGGTTTTATCCTGATGAACAATGGTTCCTAAGATCATGTTCTCATTTGAGTTTCGTAGTGATCGCCTTTTTTTTTGGGCAAGTGGAACTTACCAGCATTCGAAAAAATCAAGACGTTCTTTCAGGTTGTAACAAGCTAATGAACTGATAAAAAATAATCTTACATCGATCTGTACATTGTATGGGTATTGTCAAGTTCACGACCAAGAGTTTCATGCGTACATAATAAATGATCATGTTTCGAGTATTGAACCCCAAGATCTTTCCACAGTGCAAAGGGTTGGAATTTAATTTAATTTAGATCAGAAGCACCATTAAATGCACAGGCTTGCTCTATCTCATCCCAGCTCAAAACTCAGTGTGCGTAATTTCATTTTCCCTATGCAAAATCTGTACTTAATTTACCTTTATCTACTAAATGCACGAAAACAAAATCAGACCAATTAAGCGGAATGCATTCAAATAATAATTAACATTTTCAGATGGCAGCTTCTGAAACATTTGCAGCCTCATCGATTCTATACTTCAAGTGAATTGGACTAGGATAATTTAACATTGACGGAATAACCTCGATATTTGTTGACTATTCTATGACTGCATTTTCATCTTTGCTTTGATAATGATTAAAATAAAATGATATTGTAAGTTATTATTGGATACTTTCCCCATACGGCAAAGCTAGTACATGCCATGGACTCTATATACCAGCACGAAACGCTCGTTGCTAAATATGGTCACCGGAAATGACATCAATGGATTTCCACTGCAAGACGGTCACAAAATTTGACACTTGCAGTCTATCATACGAGTAGGGGAGTGGAGCTTCAATCACTTTCCATGCTTATTATTCTGGTCCACTTTCTACAACTTTTATTTTAGTCTCACCCTTAGTGCACAAAAGAAAGTTCTTGCATTGACAAAAGTTCGATAAGTCTCTTTCTCAACATTTTAGCTGCAGGTGCTCCTTCGCATGATCGCTGTGAATTACCGAATCGATTGCCATTCAGCAGGGTATTTAACTTCATGCATGTACTTGAATGGCAGGTTTTCCAACAGCTTTCTTTGTCTTACGGCGCACGTTCGCCGAACACGATAGCAATTTATCAGAGTTACTTCATTCTTTCTTGCTTAGAAAATAGCTTTCTAAACATACGAGTCGAAGTAATGAACTCGTTGCATATTTACATCGCATGAGTTTGGACATTTCAACAACTAAAATCTCGTTCCTGATCTCCGCACTAAATCTAAAACCATGCATATTCGTGTTGCAATTGAAGCTTTATTCCATAATGTTAGCTTATCGTATGATGTGCTGAAATTTCAACTTTTTAAGAAACATTTTATCATGAATTTAACTTTTTAATTTTCTCTAGATCTCACATTATTCCCTTTTCTTAATTTCTGATAATAAATAATTTTTTAATTTACTACTGAATCATCAGAAAATATAAGGAAACACTGTGCCCATTTATGTGATATCAGATAATCCTATTTCCATGGCGCTATTTTCTCGCCTTTTCTTCAAAAACGCTGAAAAATTACCAATCCACATCCTGGCGAAAATTCCTGGGAATTTTTCCGGAACTTCGCATCGCTATTAGAACAAAATTAGATGCACGTAGCGAGAAAATACACCAGGTTCAATATTAAAATTCCAAGCAAGGGCGTAACAAACTAACAGATATCTCATGATTGTTATACTGTTATGAAATGTATTTTTCGCCCCCAACTTAATTCGAATATAAGTAGCCACCTGCAGTTGATATCACTCCCTGTGCCCCAGAACCTAATGTTGCGAAGCCAATATTTCATTCAACATTACTACATCACTTGATCATGCGATTCGATCTATTGACGTAAAGTATATGTAAATCAGTTTAATCATCCTTAGCGTAACTACGATGTTTATCACTAATCGAGGAGGTGAGATACCTCCGTGTATAATCGGTGCATTGTCAGAATGTGTTGAACATCATACGCACAGCAAAGCGAATTTAAGGTTAAAAAAGTATTATAAAATTATTGAATATTCTTACCAGTGCAAGCTTTATGCAGTGACCAAAGCCCTTTGAATGAACTAATGAACCTTAACAGAAAATTCGCTTTCTTCAGATCTGGCGCAGATCAACTTACTATTAATAGTCAATTATCCTAAAAGAATAAATTAGATTTGAATACAATGTTGATCCTTTTCCGCCCATAATTCGATGCATGTTGTCAGTACATTGACGACGAAATCATTGCGGAAGCGCAGGGAAGCGATTGAACAGTTCCCACGTGATATTGAGTGTTGCGTAGTACAACTTCACTCTCAAACTTCTCCCTGGCATTAGGTCATATCGTTGCTTCAGACTGTGTCCCTAGCTATCGCTAAGAATTGATAAAAACATATCTTTACTCAATTCTCACCAAGAGAATCCACAATGCACAGAGCAGAGCAATAATTATAATCAAAGTGACCTCACAACGTATAAATTAAAATTTTGCTTCATTGGGTCTGCTGATTGTGTGACTGAAATAAAAATATTTAATGACCAATTCCTCAATTTAATTTTGTGAGATTTCATTTATGAAACCAATCTTAAAACAGCAATCACAGGAAATCATTAATAATATTTTCGTAGCAAACTCATTGTTTAGAAAAAACGAATATTCTCGGAAGGATCACAATGTAGGAAATTTTATAATGAAAAGACTTATCAGCCTGGGAACGACATAAACGTACACGACCAGCCTACGGGATATTTAGCTACATTTTGGTAGCTAATAGAATAAAATATCAATAACACAAAATACAACTGAAATAAACTCGAAGCTGAACTTTAATAATGACTATGAATTGCCAAGCATATGACAAATCAATTAAGATCAGAATCATTAGATGTAAATTTGTGAAATTCAAATTATTAACAACACGTATTGCCAGTCCTACGATTAACTCTTAGGCGGAATCAGTAGAACAAATTCATATTCAGGTCTCGTAGAAACCTTCTATCTATACTCGTATTGATACAACTCCGCCAAAGGATCTCATTCCACCATCATTCGACGAAAGCAAAATTTTCCCCTACCTTCTACAGACTCATTCATTCTAAAAATAAGCTTTAGGGTTAAATCGAAAATAAAAGTAAAAATTTATCTTCAACTTAAGTGGCTTCCACGTACCGTGATTTCTTTTCATGCCTTTATAAACAGTTTCATTTTAAACTTACAGTTCCCAAACGCTTCCAATGTTGTGAGGAATCACAATGTAATGTTCGGTGTTGGTGACCGAGCAGACGACTTGCTTCCGTTGCCGCGCTGGCGAATCAAATGATCGTGACAACCGGGGACTGATATATATGCACGGTATTCCGGTCGCATGGAATCTTCATTCTCGCGTTTCACTTTCTATGAAGGATATTACAGGCTTAAGGGTGTGTGTGTGTGTCAAGCGCTTGTGCAGCGCGTTACGGAAGGCGTTAGATCGTAAACAGTTAACAGTTATGTTAATAAAAACGGTTATCAGTGATTTTCGATCATTAACTGAGAAGAGCATATCAGAGAATTTTATTTCGTGTGTGAATAACGATATTTAATAATTCTTCTCTGTCATGTTCTATATTATTGAGTAGCTCTAAGCGAGAACAAATGTTTTGTGTCATAGTCGCTAAATAGAAGAATATGAAGACAAATATTGGAATTCTCGAATTAAGATGACCTTACTAGTCCATCCTCTGGACAGAATTTCGGTAATTTCCTCTGCAGAATTGCGTCATTCAGCCCAGAGAGCCGCGGAAGTTTCTTGTAAAGTCTCGAGCAATAATCATCACTTGCTGACGATTGCTGGCGGCTTCTAAGAATATCATCACGTAGGCGAATGATTTGTCATGGTCTATTTAGGAACTGCCGGGGCCGTGATGGGATGTTACGTTCACATCATACCGAGCGCCGTATGTGTTGCAATGTGTCCTCACTGCGGTATTATTATAATACGCGTATTATCTTACACGCAACTGACGTTTTAAACGAATGCGCAGTACAAAGATTTTTTAGAGTCAAATCAATCTGTTCTCGATGCAAGGCTGCAGATATTTCAAATTGTACTCAAATAGAGAAATGACTTTATCATCAAAACTGTTATATTTTATATGATATATGTTTATTCATGTATATTTACATTCCATCAGGAGTAATTTTACGGCTCTAATCCTTGTCACTTCAGACCCGAGAAAATACAGAAGATTAGTTGCTTATTAAGAAGTGGGATGAATTCACGAACGAAATAAATTCATCCAGAATGGGATTAATTTTAATACATAATTTTACTGTTTGTTTCTCGTTTTATGCTACATTTGCAAAAAAATGCGGTAAAATTCATGATTTTGTATAAGAGTTGTTGTTAAATGGTACCTACTAAGGGTACTGTTTAGTGTTTAGTCAAATAAATTTTTTACATTGACCGTTTCAGAAATCTTGCTTGAACTGTACATCCTCGATACGCGCTGTGACAGAAAAATGCATCACATTTTAAAACTTCCTTTGTTTAATTAAGTAGACATCCAAAACCAAAGCAGGAAACGCAGTCGTACTTCATCCATGGTCGTACTATTGTCCCAATCATGAGAGCAAGTCGGTAATTACATTCTGCAACCCAACTGTAAATTTTTATTTAATATTTTTTTTGGTAGGGTCATTATTTTTTCACTTGTTCACGGGTTAGAAAGGGAGGCTCTATGATACGTCAAATATCTTTATTTAAATGTAGCAAAGAACTTTCCATGTCTCGCATTTTTAACTTTCTCTTGGCAAAACGTTCATACTGTCACACAAACGCGAAGTTTTGCCTCAACTTAAATGGCAGGTAGATTGAAATAACAAATATAATATTGTGAATATTTCATTTGCTCGCAATGCGAATCATTAATTCACAAAGATGAATAAGGTGACACATATGAGCATGCTGCCATTTGTTTATAAACTGAATGGCTAGTAAAGCTTCAGTGGCGGGTAAGCGGTCCATTCAACACCTACAAAGATCACCGATACCATAAGGCAGAACAAAGGCTCCTTGGCTTCCACTACCAGGTATTGATCGATTAGTTTTCAGCAAGTGAATGAATTCACTATAAGGTTTACTAGGAAAATGTTGAAAAATTTCCTTCACGGAACTGAGAGGCCATAAGGGTACGCACACAGTGAAAGTAGGTTGCCGGCGTGCTGGTTACCTGCTCAGGCTGGCGCCTGAAACCATAGAATACAGAAGCCTATTCGTACAGGTTTTCACTGTGAACACTTACATTATTATCCTATGTTCATTCTTGTGGCAGGTTGAAACCATAGCATACAGAAGCCTATTCGTACAGGTTTTCACTGTGAACACTTACATTATTATCCTATGTTCATTTTGTGGCAGGTTGGAGCAAGTTGCCCGCGCGGGCAAATCTGCTTTCACTGTGTACGTACCCTAAGACATGGCCTATTGGAGCATATGCTCAGCGTTCGCACCACCGATTGTTGTCCTGATGCAGGGCAGTTAGAAGATCCAAATAACGTCTTGACTGCAACATTGTGAGATTACATGCGCAGTGAGCACGCAGGTTAACGCAACACGTAATGTGTGACGTCATGTACAGCAACGCAATAGAGAAGAGAGCCCCCTTGTTGCTTTACCTACATGATATCTTCAGCTGCAGGGAATCAGAATGAGAGCGTATTTTAAATTACACTCCATATATCGGACAGGAAAGTGAAAGACAACCGTACTTTTTTAAAATAATCTATTAGTGTTCTTTTCTATAACAAAAGTTCCCTCGCATTCTGTCCACTTTCATGAGCAGATGGACGCATGAAACACACGAACTTTTCACAATATAATTACGGTACACCGACGGAAGTTGGGCCTCACGTTTGCGTATCGAAGATACGAGGCGTTCGGCATTGCTTCCTTTGGGTCGTCCACTCGTCCTTACATATATATTTTGACAAATCAACTAGTTACGAAGTAAAATGTTCAATTGGCCAAAGAAACGAACTTTTGTAGAAATTTGATCCCAAAAGGGGATAACGATTAATAGAATGATTAATATCGAAACACTCGACCACAAACTAGATAGAAGAAACAATACCTTCATCGTATCCAGGTTCGTCATACAAATAAATTGGAATAATAACATAAATGTGTTTCATTCCAGTTCAAAACGATTTACAAATTATTTCATGAGCAAATAGTGATGTCAATTAATAGTGGAAGTGTTTCGACAAAGGATAGATCGCTTCTAAGTTAATATGCAAATAACGAGCAGTCACATAAAAAAAATTAGGGAACGATCGAACCATGATGTGCAATATTAAGATTGACGTAATATTTGAAGATCATAATAAAAATGGATCGACAGTCGCGACAGCAACGAAGATCAAGCGAATGAGTATGGGAGGTATAGACATCAAGATTTTCGTCATCCACAATTAGTCTGCGGAGCAGCTCGCCCGGATCCAGCAAGTGCTCAAGATATAAGCGGCTATTACAAATAGACGTTCGAACACAGTAAAAATTAATCATAAATAAGGAAAGCATTTCACGATAGGCCTCTTGAATTACTTAAACTAATATATAGTGTAAAAAGAGAACAATAGAGCTTGAAAGCAGTGAGATTTGTACTGATTATTATCGCTTCACTTGCATCACCTCTAAGCACGCCTGAGCTTCTAGTAAGAACCCTCGTTCAATCCAGTAAAGATGGCAGTATCGGCAGAAATATCAAGAACTATATTAGCAACACAGTTCAACATAATTATTAAACGATAAACGATACGATTTATACACAATACGAAGCGAGCACTTGCAAAGACAACTCAAATACCGATATCGTCAAATGTATTTACTATTGAAACAGCTTGATCGCGAAGCCGATGAGATAGAAATTTTCACGAATGTAGAAATAATTTTACCCTAACATTCAATAACTTTAAGAATAGATAAAACTTGCTATTAGCTAGTAGCGTCAAAGCAATGGACGTCTGTAAATTATCATTAGCCATTGTTATCTATCACAAATTATTTGTCTGGTTTATTTCAGGGAATAGGCACACAATCATACAGACTATGCTTGGACTTCTTAAGAGTTTCTAAGAGATAAATTATCTTAATAAATAGTCACGAACTTGCATCAATTTCTTCTGTCTGCAGTTAAGTGCGTGAACTTCCAAGGAATGAAATTCTAACAAAATGAAATTGAAAGAAATGATTTGTTTGCACTATAATTTGAAGAGAAATAACACAAAATTACGGCAGGTGCATACGAAACAAACCAACAAATTTAACTAAAAATTTCAATCATAGCAGCAAACAATCTACTGAGCAGTCTGAACAAATAGATCACAAAATTCAAAATATTGTTCTTAAATTCAAGAGAAATTTATGAAAAACCAAGCAACGTGCAAAAAGAATTGAGAAACGTCTCGTAAAACAAAGTCTTTGCCAAAAAAGCCCTGAACATAAGAAAAGATATCCGTAAACAAGTCAACGTATGTACAGGTAATTACAACTCACCTAGACCAGGAGCAAAAAGAGCGACTGCACGACTACCACAGCAAGAAATGTACCTTAGAATTTGTCGCATTACGGCTATGGTAGTAACACCGTGAACCTCTTGTCATAGCCAAATAAAATAGCAAATTGACGGGAATAATACCAATAAACAGTCGGTTCATAATATACACGCATGAAACTGTCTCCAGTACCAGCGCACTTCGCAGCGAGTATTAAATAGCAGCTGCGGTGACGAGGAGTGTCAATCATTCACAGGATTCGGCTGTAGTTTACGCCGGTTTCTAACTAACAAACACACCACAACACAACTCAATATTGAAATTGTTCTCGTCACTCTTTTAACAACTCTGGAATCGAGCCTATTATCAGATCAATTTAAAATGAATAATAGTGGTCAAATCTCTGCTATAAAAATAGTTCAAAACATAGTATTTGTCAACCTAAAAGTACAGCTACATAGAAACACTAACTCAATGCCCTTTATTTCGACACTTTATACAAAAATGTGCTCGTACCAATCACTTACAAACATTAATGTTGATATTTTCGACACCCAAAGAAGAAAATATGAAACCATTAGCTAGACTTCCAGAAACCTGGAGGTTAAATACCGTATAAATGGCATGCCATGCCACCTTGGAGATAGATCACAAGGAGATAAATGCAATGAGCAAATCGTTGCATTTCAATGATACAAGCCATGAATAAAACATTGCTTCAATAAAGATTCATCAGAACAGTAACATCTGCGATAATGAAGTGCGCAGAAATTCAGAATTGTTCCCGTCTCGCAAAAAGCAGACAGGAAGAAGTAGAACTTATTGATTCAATTATTTAAGCGTCATCGCAGTGAACAAGCTCATCTTAGTTGGATCTATTAATAAATGCGTAAGAAGCGCATCAAGACACTGTTAAACTTCACCTTACCAGTTAGAGTTTCGCAATCTATGCTCGCTCTTCTTCAGTGCAGGCTATTTTCGGACTGCAGTCAGATTTATATAATATATGATAAAATTTTCTGCCAACGTCCAGGGATTTCAATCACAATCAATTTACGATAAGATTGGCTCCGGTTGAATTCAATCATCAAGATCGAGAGGAAGAAACAAGATGCAGTGAACATAGTAGAAATATAAAATAAATAAATATGATATGCAGAAACCGATTGGCATATCAATCAAATTTCTAATAGGGAACTATAATAAAGGGGCAGTTTCATTAACCGCTCTAACAGCCCTCGTAGAGGACAAAATTGTAAGTAGTATCAACATCAAGATCTTAAAGTCGGACGACAGAATTAAGCGACACGCTACTTAGATATATCTAATATGAAACGCCGTTCATCTGAATTACAGTTGGGCTTTCTACCTGCTGTAAGAGTTCAAGAACGAGACAAGGTATTTTTTCAACATAATAAAGTGTGAAATCTATGAGAGTTTCTTCAGCATAGTACTGATAGTACAACTACAGCGATTTGAATTCACCAAAATACATTAATATCATTTGCACACAAGTTTCCTGCATTATCAACGTAAAAAGCACAGTCGCGGAAAATTTTTCTAACCAAGATGGAAACATGGATACAATGAAACTTTTTGTAAAATCGTGTATAGATTTTTGAACCCGATAGTGGATTTCAATTTAGTGCATTCATTTCACACAGACAGATGACGGTAAAATTGGCGTTCAAATAGACGAGATAATAAGTTAGGGATTCCTCGCTCGGTAAGTGGTATCTGTAGGCTGAATGATATAGGTACTTCAATTAGATTAGTACTAGAACCAGGTCTAATTAAAGAAAAATTTAGAGGCGAGCTAAAGGACGGCAATTTGATTTAGAAAACATGGAAAATAATGTAATTTGAAGCACAAACAAATATATATATATATATAAAAAGAAAATATAGATGAGGGACTTTGTCGAAGATCAGCTTCAGGATTAAAATGAAACTAATGAATGAAAGCTAGAAACGGTCAACAAACGGCTCTAGCAAACTTTGTATCTACGGTCTGTTTATATTCAAACTAACATTTTCATACAACACTTGGCGGAGCTCAAATAAAGTCGAAGAAGTCAGAGAGGCCCTCCGTTGTGTCAAGTGAGAAGGTGTAATCATTGTGGTCCATGGGAGGCTCTAAGGTTAAGAAGGGAGGGGGAGTGCTCGCTGAGCCGAAGCCAAGATCTTCAGAGCCTGGAAAAAAGAACATAGGTAAGTCATATTTACAACGCACACAGGGTCCTGGCAACCAACAACAACAACAACAGCGCACATTTGACCTAAACGAGATCGTAATCAATACTTCACAACAGCTTTCTTGCAATGCTAACAAGCAACGTGAGCAACTTTTGCTTGCTATTAAGAATCAAAAATACACTATAGCGTCACCAAAAATAATCGGAAGCCAAGAAATTAAGGTAATCCCGTTCAAGAATAAATTGCAGGCACGACTCCTCGACCTTTAGTTATCATTTCTTCTTTGGTTGAAGTTTCCATTCCGATGTAGAAAACGATTTCAATTCATTTTCTGGCTTCATCCTAGTGCTAAGACTTAGTAAAATGTCGCAAAATTCAAGGCTGTGGCATCTGACGCGGTAGGAGATGGCGAGGTTCATGCTAGGAGATCAGCTGGGGTGACCATGCTGAATCCACTGGTGCTACGGAAGCAAGGCACACACCACCAGCAGATACAACGCGGTCACCGCCAGCAATTTGATCCAGCGCGATATTTCTTGGAGGACTGAGCGCCATGCAATCCAGGAGCTCAGTCACGTGTCGACGACTTTCTCTTCAAATAATATTTTCATTGCATCTCGAAGCTTGATCAGTGACGGGCATCGATCAGATTGATCACTCAACATGAATTGACATGATGTCATCAGTAAACGAAGAGCGTTACTATCGTCATTTCAATGCAACACGATTGTCAAATAAAGCTATTTCTAAATGCAAGACAGTAGACTGTTGGCTGTGGCAGCAAGCATGAAGGTACAGTTACTGTGATATGGAACAGCACACACAGCACAGAGACTGTACCCGCACACTCATTGTCTGGAAGTTACACAAGAAGAGGCAGTAGCGTTGATCGAGTAGGAGTTCTGGATACATGCAAGGGCCAGAAGTCATAGATGCCGGCAAAATTTTCAAATACGAGTAGACCCTCCCGAGTTCCAGAGACTATTGGGAAGTCAATTGACATTATCCTTTTATTCCAGCGATGATCGAAAAATGTTCACTGAAGCATGTGTGATGATTTGCTTCTTTTCAAAACCTTCTGGTCGCCAGCGCGTCGCGAGATTTCATCAATTCTCTCAAACTCCAAAATCAACAGGAAGATGCTCACTAAGTAATCTCCGTCATGATTAGGGAGAAATAGAGCATAAACAATATAAAATAAATTAGAAACTCTTCTAAAAAATACTTAACATTCCCTTTTTGTGTACATATTTTCTTATATTTCACCTTTTGCAAAAATTCTTTCGTAATTACAACATTCAGACAAGCATGATGCTTTTAGAAGCTAAGATATTTTGGTTTATCCCACTTACCAGGATCGTCTGAATTAAGAAAGCCATAGGGTTCAGGAAGGAGCAGGTCGAGGGCATTAGAATCACCAGCTCCGAACATGGTCGCGAAGACGTCGTCGGTGAGCAAGTCATCCGCACAAACGCCCTCGTCCTCCGCCAGCTCTACCTTGACACAGCCTCCTTTGGACGGCGACCACGAACTCTATAACAGGAGATGAGACATCACACCAGAGCCGATTTTTAGAAACTAACATATTAGGCAATATAAATTAACGATACACAAGTTTCAACATCTTGCGCCGTGAACCTGGAACCGAGGCGGCATTTGAATAGCGAATGTAAACTATGTAAAAATAGGCGGAATTAGATGAGAATCCTCCAGTCATTGAGATTTACATTTTAAGTAACTTTGAAAAATCATAATAAAGTTATGATAAAAATACTGTAGGCTTTCTGAAATAAATTAATGAACAGGGTCAGTAACGGACAAACTAGCTGAAAATTTTACAATAGACTATACAACATGCATTATGTATAGCTATATAGTTACTTTACATATGTTAAAGATATGAGGAGCTGAATAGAAGAGGATACATTAGACTGGAGAAAATACGCACAAAAATAAAATCTTGTAGATCAATCATTGTGGAATAAATTCATTCAAAACATGCCCAGACTCAAAAAACATTTTGAATCACAAGAATTCACGATTTAACTTTATAATGACGCATCGCATACATACGGCATCACATCATTGCATCTAAATATTATTCAGTTGAAAGGACAATAGGAAAACATTCAATAACAGGCATTCTACTAAAGACATTCATTGCATCTGTTCACCTTTTTGGGTGTAACTCTTCTCCTGCAGGGCTTTTTACTGGGCGGCGTGAACGCGTCATCAGGAATCAATGAACGTTTTTTGGGAGTAATGCTAGATGGTGACGGGACAGGCAAGCCAAAAACAGCGTCGCTGGAACCAGCCATCCCAGGCAATGCTCCCGGTGAACGAAGTGGCGATCTTAACGCCAAATCACCAGATCCAACATTAAGATTTAAATAAGCGAATGATGAAGAGGCAATAGGAGAACTTTTCGGTGACTGTATACAGTCATCAATACGAGACGAAGTGGATGCTTCACTGGAAGCTTTGTCTTGACATCTCCGAGACTCGTCACTGGTTGGTGAAGCAGTGCTAGCATTAGGTGCGAGTTGTGACAGGGCTGTGAGAGTAGCGAAGTTGTGCTTGTAGGAACTCATGCCTTCCAACCAACTAGGCTTGCCTTCATACATGTGCACAACAGTTGGGCGCCCGTACGTGCACAGTTGCAGTGATAAGGGCTGAAGAAATAAACAAACATTCATTACTTTCTGGAGGTATTAAAAACAGAGTTGCAAATTAAGTACTGAATCGACTAAAATGATTTTGCTCATGAAAAACATTCATACATTAAAATGATACATACTTATAAATAGGCATCAAATGCTGACATCATCATATGGGTATTACACTTAGATCATTTACTTGCTGGCATATATACTAGAAACTTCGCTGTGCAATGGGAACTTGCTGGCATATAAACTAGAAAGTTCTGTGTGCAATACAAAGCGGATTTATTTTAAGTTTCCATAAATACTGACGAGCTCTTGTAAGTTGGCCGAGACTCCCAAGGTACTGCCTGCTGGTGGGCTGACCATGAAGACGGTGCTGTTATGATAAAGTTGCTTCACGTCGCAGTGATCCATGTAGGCGAACCGCCGATCCGTTTCAAAGTCCGATGCTAAATTACTGCCTGGAATATCAGATGTTGAGTTGAATTGGAATGGCAACTCTAGCAATAAAATTATATTAGTAATATTGACCATTAACTGAGTAATCATGTGACCGGGCAACATGGTCCTACTCGACACTAGCACACGGTTACACAGTTCATGTACTATTTATATCCGCCTTTTAAAACAGCTGGAAAAAGTTGGTAGAATGGTTCCTTTATCCACAAGGACGAATGAAGGTAAAAGATCAGTTATTCTAGTCCTATATGTTGTCTTTAGAACGTAGAAACATCAAATCCAACGTAAGGAATTAAGGACAAATAAATATATACTAATATGAATGCAATGATGCAGCGATGATTACAAGGTGACATCTCAGGCCCACAGAAACCAAATGCGTTGCTACAAAAGCTTAGAGTGAATAGAAAGACTAACACTGAAACTTACTCAGCTGCTGAATTAGGCAATCAAGCTTCTCTTCTTGTTTCCTCAATCTCTCGACATCAGCTTCTACTTCTCTGGTATTACTAGGAGCCGACCTAGGGAAATGCAAATCAAAAAATCAAATGAATCAAAAACCGAGTAGGTATATTAAAAAATCAATCAACATTCAGATAAATATTGTCAAGTACGAATATATTATAGTCATGAATGTGAATTATCTAGATGGCACAAATTATAGGTTTGCATAAAGTTAGATCTCCAGTGGAACGCTATAAATACAGCATTATTCAATCTAATTAGTTGTAGACCAAGTAAACCTGCCTTCAAAGCCCTAAGACAAAAGCCCCTAAGTTTGATATTCCTACAACTAAAAACTAATATTTCCGTAGACGATTCCAACGCATACATAATAATATTTCCAAATACCTCAACAACTGAAGAATTCCACGTCAAAATCTCAAAAACATTAAGAGCACAGACGAATTTTGTTAGGCTTCACCTCTCCTAAGAGGTTTTTGGGATCATAATTCATGTCATGACAAGCTAAAAGGTTCCATTTTATCTTAAAACGTAAAATTTAGATGAACTCTGGAGTGCCACATACGAAATAAATGAGACGACAAATTAGTCAAAACAAAATTGTTTGATGAACAAACAGTCAAACTTCAATGATGGTGGTCTGCAATAATATATATTTATTGAAAAAATGGTAGGAGTTCAATTGAGTAATGAGTAAACACGAGAATGTCAGGACATACCAATTATTTACATACTCACATTAATTGTACATTATTTTTGAATTTCTTATTGACTAGTCCAATGCCTTCCAGCACATTGGTGATGTCGTAAATTCTCCTTTTCTGAACCTGAAGAACTTCGGAAGCCTGTCGAAGGAAGGATGAATGAGTTTTCAGGAAAATTTTAATGGGTTAGATTACAAAAAAAAATCAATTGCCAGTGTTGCTCATAAAAAAAGTCAAAGAGTTAGCAAAATTTTTCAAAAATAAAATATGCCAGGAAAACCGAGAAAAAAATTATTGTTGGAAAACAGCCAAAATAACATAAAAGTAGCAGGGGAATAACCCTTAAATCATGTAAAGTGAAATTAACGCTAACTTACGAGTGCAGTTGTCTAAAAAAAAAAAACGTATAATGAATATGAAAAACACTGCTTCATATACATTACAAATATGAAATATTTGTACGAGGACGCTAAATATACAAGGCAAAACAGTACGCCCAATACATAAAGAGAATAACCGAGTTGCATGAGGATATTACCAGCTTGAGATCAACGGTGCCGTCAGCGGAGTTGTGAAGTAAGGCCAGGAACTCTTTGGTAAGTTTGCCGAGAGACGTGTCATAGCGAGAAGGCTTGCCAGGCGAGGCTGTTCAAACAAACATAGATCACGACATTCAGTGCTTGTGCAATCATGGTAGTAAGAGTATAAGATATGAGGCAGCATTTCCATGTTACTAGGCATAAATAATAAGCTTTGTCAATTGAGGAAACAGAATGTCTGTAATATGAAGCTGCCAGAAATCTTTATGCACAAATGGGATCATACCCAACACTCTAAATACACCCTATTGAGTAATAGGTATTTATTACTATTTAACAAGCATAAATGTGAAGAAAATACTAAATGTTCATTTCTATTACTTCTTTGTGCATCTAGCAAATTCAATCATAAAAATTTTAACGCTAATGTCAGCTTGTCCTAACCATTGGCAAACATTACATAACAATTACGAGCGAAATATTGCGGTAACTATAAAGAAAATCATTAATTCACCAAAAAATGTTTTTACCCACACACGACGACGACCCTCACCGTTATTTTTTGCCCGATGCTGCGCCAGCAAGGCAGGAGTGAGGGGAGAGGGAGAGGAGCAGTGTGGGGATGCGACACGGGACGTCACGCTCCGCCGCGGGGTTTTGCTGGGGGTGCGGAAACCGTCCGCATCAACGATGCCTGCCACGAGCGACGGGGCCTCCTCCAGCACCAGGCGTCTCTTGACGCTCTGTTAAGAGGCACACATTAGTACCTACATACATAAAAACGTTATGGAAATTTTGGGATAAAAGAAACAGAGCTTTGTAACATAAAAAAGTTATGGAAATTTTGGGATAGAAGAAACAGAGCTTTGTAATCTAAAAACGTTATGGAAATTTTGAGATAGAAGAAACAGAGCTTTGTAACCTAAAAACGTTATGGAAATTTTGAGATAGAAGAAACAGAGCTTTGTAACCTAAAAATGTTATGGAAACTTTGGAATAAAAGAAACGGAGCTTTGTAACATGAAAATATTATGGAAATTTTGGAATAGAAGAAACAAAGTTTTGTAAAAGAGCCATTATTTATAAATAATGTTAGGAAATTATTCTCTTCAGGAAGCAGATGGAGATGTATGGCTAACAAATGTTATTTCAGACGGTGTAAATTTTTTATAAACATCAGGGAAAATATAAGGATAACCAGCAAGTAGTCATTGACAGTTAACATCTCAAAGAGCAATAGTAATATATACCTACCAATCTTGCAAATCACTGCAATCTAAGAGCTTGCTTCTTGGTCTACTTTGTGGTGGCACAACGTAACAATATATTATTCAATCATACTAGCACCTGGGCACATTTATATATTTATTTTAAATAAACTTTTACTTTTTCAATTTTCAGTTCATGTTCATACAAGAATGAAATTTCAATTATATTATTTTTATTAGATACTGCATGTTCACTAATTCTATTGATTGATTAAAGAAAAAGTTTATTTTGTAAGTTATAGTATTACAGTAATTATTTCAATCATAATAACATCTCTGCAATCTTTTCAACTTATTTTAACAATCATAAATTTATAATTTTGAAACCAATTTCTTAGCAAAATAAAATATTACAGGGTTATTCTGAATAAAAAGCTGACTAATAGCCGGCAGCATGACATCCAGTGGTGAGAAGTCTACCCTCTGCATCCTAGAGTCTCTTGATAACCTCAGTATGCAATTTTGATTCAACACTCTCGAGATACAATGTTGATGATACTATTTTATACAATGATACTATTTGTATCCAGATGCATAACTGGAGTTTGCATAACAGGATGAAATGCATTTTTTTTCCTTTTTTCCTATCAACTTGAGTGTCCTTGTCAGATCTAATTCTACATAAAAACGTAGCAAAAAATCTTACAGATTATTCCTGAACTGATTCAACTGATATTGAATCCTATGAGTGCATCATGCTCCAAACCTCAAACTCGAGCATCACTGACCTGAGCTTTGAGGGGTGTAGCAGTGGAGGATGCAGGGGAAACATGCCCACTGCTGGGGGTGTGTGGGGTACTGAGAGGAACTGTGAGGCCATAGCCATGGTCAAGCAGCTGAGTATAGGTGAGTCCATCACAAGGCAGGGAATACTCAGGAGCTTCACTCACCACACCTCCCTCCCCTCCATACAGCCTTTCCATCACCCCATACACTGCCAACAAAATATTCACAGTTAATTAAATGACAAGCTAATCATCAACACAGTATTAATAAACCAACTGAACAATAAAAAAATGGGCATGAATAAATATATATATATCATGTCAATATATATATATATATATTTATACATTTATATAAGTCATGCTGAAATCACAGAATTACCGATTCTATGGAATTGGCAGCTAGTTTGCGGAATCTGTAGAATCAGCATTTGTTGCCGATTCAGAAATTTGGACATCAAGAGTTAGAATACTGGTACAAACTGACAGAGTTAAAAGAGGTTAGAACAAGTTCAGTCAAGTTCCTTTATATTAAAATATTTTTAAAAATTTTGGCTGACTGACCCAACCCCGTATTCTTATAGTATAGAAATGCCGATTCTACAGATTCAGCAAACTGGCTGTTGATTCCGTAGAATCTGCAATTTCACAATTTTGGCACAACATATATACCTATATTAGTATAGGCTGGCAGAATTTCTTCTCTTAAGCAAGATTTGTTAAAGACCAGAAAATTAGTTTTATTTATTAGATTTTTGTTAGTTTTTTCAATAAGTCGTACTAAATTCTTTGTAGGTGTTGGAAGGTTGAAAATTAAATTACTGATAGACATTTTTAATATTGAACAACATTTCGAATGTACAACATCAGGGTTGGCAATGATTGAATTACTTGATATTTTTATAAAAAAATCATGATTTTTTATTTTTTTTTTTAATTTTTTCATATATTCAAATATATTGAGTGGCAGTCTTTAATTTATATTGAGGTATGGTTATTCATGGTTTAGTATAAAAGTACTATGAATGACAAATTGGTATTTAAACTTGTTGCCTTTAGTGTGTATTAGGTTCCAATAAATTGAATGTTTTTGGTACAGAGGCATCAAGTTTAAATGTGTTAGCTAGCTTATACAGGGTGGGGCAGAACTGATTGAACAGTTTTGAGGCAAAATAGAAGAGTAATGGAGGTACATAAAGAAGAAAGTTTATTTTCCTCAAGATTAGCATAACATACCATTTAAAATACTTATGTTTTGAAAACAATATCAGGAAGATGGGGTTTGTTAGCTGCATCACACTGTTGGAGTCGTTCTCAGAAGTTTTCTATAGCATGTTCACACATGGCAAGGTATGGCCATAACCTCTGCTGCAATAATCCATCCCCTTAGCTGTGGTAGGGTGTGAGGGCGACTTCTGAACCCCTTTCTTTTAGATGTCCCCAAAGAAAGATATTGCAAATGCTCAAATCAGGTGACCTCACAGGCCACTGTAAATCACCCCTCAGATTCTGGGACTCTGGGAATATGCGTTTCAAAACATTGAGTGACATTTGGGCTGTGTGAGCTGTAGCCCCATCCTGCTGGAACCACAAGTCTGTCTCCCAATGCTTTATTTTCAACAATGTTTTCGTCCATCATGGGCTGCAAGAAATTTTGCAACATTGCAGCATAGCGATCGGAATTCACTGTTACGGTTACTCCCTACTCTGAGAATGACTCCAACAGTGTGTTGCTGCAAATGGCCCCCATCTTCCAGATATTGTTTTCAAAACATAAATATTCTAAATGATACGTTATGCTAACCTCTAGGAAAATGAACTTTCTTCTTTATGTACCTACCTCCATTACTCTTTTATTTTCCCTCAAAACTGCTCAATCAGTTCTCCCCCACCCTGTATATTGAGGGGTTGAGATTGTATTGACCTTTTAGGCAATTAGAAAGATTTTCCACCCTAAAACGAGTATTCTAAGTAAAATATTTAATTTCAATCTTTAAATATGTGAATTTAAAACTAGAAACAAGACAATTACAATTAAAAGACTATATATAAAATAATTAAATGCAGTGAATGGATATAAAATATTTGAATTGTGCACATGTTTATTTCAAACAGTATAGTCAAATGGGGTAAGACAGGATCGCAGCCTTCATGGGGTAAGAAAGGACCAGCCCATGGCGTGCATTCTAATTGCACTGAATTCAATTTGACAAAAGAATATGTTAGAGCAATCATTGCCGGTCATTTCAGTGTTTGTGGCAACCCTCTTCTGCAAATAATGAATTTCTGGCTAATTTTTAAAGAAAACCAATGTAAGGAAGTGTCACAAAATAGTTAACCCTGTTTGGGAAATAAGCTCTGTCTAATGACAAAAAATTTTTTGGCCAGGTTTGTGGATGTAGGCAGGTAACCTCAAGTAATAGGCAACTTTTTAGACATACTAGGCATTCCTACCTGCTACCATCACTGCCTGACATGTATTCCAAAATGGGGTAAAAAAGGACCAGACATGGGGTAAGACGGGACCACTAAATGATCCTGTTTTACCACAAAAATGGTCCTGTCTTACCCCACAAATGGTCCTCTATTACCCTACAGTTTATCAAAAATAGTTTTTAAATGAATATATTATTGTATACATGGAGAATTTTGGTCAAAATTTTAATCCTTTGCTCAAACTGCATTATAACTTGTTAGCTTTTTTAATTAGAGAAATTTAGTGCACTATTTTAAACTTTCATCAAAGGGATATAGAAAATAGGGATGTCTATCCCCATTAGTGAGCTGCAGAACTATGTGCAAGATTGGCTGGGGGAAAAAATCACTGTGTGAAACATGAAAACTAATTATGATCACAACTCTGTGAGAGGGCATGAGCTATGTTTGAAGAAGTGCACCACAAATGCAGTTAGCAAGAAAACGCATGACATCTGACACTTTTTATTACTGACACTTTATTACTGACATCTGACACTTTATTTTTATTGCCAATTTGATAAATTTTTCAGACAATGACACTAATGCAATGCAATATACATGAAGCATTTAGCAGTGCTCTACAATGAACCAAAGCCAACCCACTATTACTATGTTTAACAAAGTTTTCTCGTGACAAAAACTTCAATGTGACTGATATTAGAGTTGACTTCCCACAACGTAAAACAGTAACAAGTAATTGTTTAATCAAATAATGTGTTTCTAGATGGATAATATTGAATATCAGGTTTGTACTTTTATTAAAAACCTTGTAACATAAGAATTACCTGTTGGTCCTTTCTTACCCCAGCCAGGTCCCATCTTACCCCAATGGGGTAAGATGGGACCAGCTCACTTTTTTTAATCTGTACAGAAAACTATGTTAGATGCAAAACGTCTGAGTTGTAGCTTAGAAGCCCATTGCATAACTACACCTTGTAATAGGTTTAGGGTTTTTAGTTAATCACGGTATAGATGCTACAGGCTTGTTAGTGATTTCGGTCCTGTCTTACCCCATCTGACTATAAGGAATGAGTCACTTGTGATATTCCCGATAAGGAATGAGTCACTTGTGATATTCCCAATAAGGTATATATTAGATTTTCTTATAACTTGAGTCTCATTTCAAGTCGTATGAGGTTTGGTTATCATTCAGTTTATGTTTAGTATTGGTTTATTGGTCTGAATTAAATGGGAACAGTGCAGTCAGTCACTCAGTCACTACTAGTAAGTGTGTATAGAGGGTAGAGTCTTGTAGATTTATAGGACATAAAACTAGTACATAGATCTATTGATAGTGCTGTGCACTGTGCTATCAGCTACCTATCTGTAGAGATGCAAAAAAAAAACGTTTTTTTTCCAGAGTGTTTTTTTTAGTAAAAAAAACTTTTTTTATGTGTTTTTTTTTGTTTTTTATTGTTTTTTTTTTCTTTCGTGTATTTATTTGGGATCAATATATCTATACCCTTAATATACATTGAAATGATGTGTTTTTAAATCTTATTTAACATATCTCATGTGTGATTTATAATTTATCAAGCCTAATACTTCTAGTTCAAAGCTTAAAAGGGTAAATAAACAAATTTTTCATTTCCTTATTGTACTCAAAAATCAAAGTATGCAAAAAATACAAAAAATAAATATATTCAAAGCATTCCATTTTCAGTCACTCAACATGACCTATGAGTCTAAGACTATGACTCAGTCCCTCCCAACCAGATACCAGACTCTGATATCAAAATCTGTAGAAAAAATAAAAGCATCTAAAAAAAGTACTCCATTTCAAGTAAACATATTGAAGTCACTTGTGGTATGTGACGTGGGTCACGTGCCTCATCGAGTCGGCATCACTCACCATGACTCGTGAGGCATGATTCACTCAGAGTCACTATCACTTATCACTGTATCACCAAGACTTGGAAGAGTATCTTCTAGTTGATCTCCATCAGGGTCATGAACATCATCCATGTCCATATGGCTGTCAGTGTCACTGTCTGACTCGTTTTGATGCTCTTGGTTTAAGCCTGCAGTTGTTAACAATTGCGGCCATTTTTCTGAGGCTGATGGCAATGCAGCAGGTTCATTATCGGCATCGTCGATCAATTGTAGGTTATGCCCTATATACACCAATTTGCCCGCCCTCTCTGCTGTCAATCTATTCCGCTTCGCTGAGTGCACGTGCGAGGCAGCCTGCACCTGCTACGTTTATTGAAAGATGAGGCAATAGGCAAGTAGCTATGATGCAATACAAATGACTTCACTGTCATTCAATGATATTAGGAATTTTAAGATACAGCATAGACCTGTCACCTATCATCCTGTGGCCCTCAGGTAAAGTGATTATGGATTTATTTGCATTTATTTATGTTTTTCTAAAAAAAACAATAAAAAACATGTTTTTTTTAAGCTGATGTTTTTTATTAAAAAAAACTTGTTTTTTATTAAAAAAACATGAGTGTTTTTTTTTACGTCGCATCTCTACCTATCTGTTATGTGACTCTTCAATGTTTAGAAGATCTGCATTCCTTAAGTGTTTTAGTATATTGAAGCCAGTTAAATGGTCAATATTTAGCTCATTATTTCTCCATACAAACTTTACAAAGCAAATGAATAGACTTACCAATAATTGTTTACCCAAAAATCCCTAAGTGGTAAACACCACCTTGGCCTGTTGGCCATTATTGAAAGCAATAAGTGCCCTTTTTAGCCATCCATTATGATCCATATACTGTTATTGTTAGTAGGCTAATTGCAACATAAAAAATAATACTTCAAATAGACAAAAAAGTTGGAATAAAAAAAATCATGAAGAATAAAAAAAATCATTGATTTTTTATTTTTTTGAAAAAATAAAAAAAATCACCAACCCTGTACAACATTCATTTTCAAGTTAAAGACGCATCGAGTAACAAAATTTGGGTTGGCATATGTATGAAATCAAGTAAATTGGATACCATTCAAATAATGCTAAAATTTTGATAATGTGATACTACAGGAAGATTTTACAAGTGCATAAAAACTACTCAGAAAACAATCTCAAAGTTCTGCCGAAGCCGGCGGTTTGAAGGTTGATAGCTGGAGTCCTCTCCTTAATGATGAGGACCTCAGCTATTGCCAGTCGTATGGGATCGGGGCATCGCATGCCGCATAATGATACTACTGGTGCATTCTTCCAATATCGGGCGAGTGATGGTCTTGTTGTGGGCCTCCTTAAAGTGATTCCTTGGTCCTCTGGACTGAAGGTGGCAGGTGAGACGTCGGCTTAGAGTTGTGGTTGTGAGCCCAATGTAGTCCATATTAGGAAGAAGTCTACAACCTTCTTTATTGCAAGAAAATTTATAGACTACATTTGTCTCTTGGAGAGGTCCAGTTCTTTTGCAAGGGTTATTGTTCATGACAAGATTCCAAATTTTCATGTTTCTATAGTAGATCAGCAGTTTCATTTTGTTTTTATTTGAGTTGTTCACAATGTTGTTGTGAACAACTCAAATAACAACAAAATGAAACTGCTGATCTACTATAGAAACATGAGAATTAGGAATTTTGTCATGAACAATAACCCTTGCAAAAGAACAAAACTTTTGAATTTTTTATTTTGAATACTTTTTTTAATTTGTGCATGGTTTGTCATATATATGGGGGAGATGGGGGGCAGGGAAAATGTGGAAAAATGGGAAAAACGCGCATAAAAAAAACTATGGGGAAAATGAAAAAAGTGATGGGTTGGTTGATAGGTATAGTCTTTACGAATCGAATGATACGTGTCTCAATGTTGTAGGACCATATTTGTAGGAGATAGATTTTCTATAGTACCCGTTTTTGGCCGTTTTCTATGAATATCATGTTTTCTATCAATCTTTTCAAAAAATTCATATGAGCAAAATGTTATTTTTTACATTTTACATGTTTATGTGAAGTTTCACGATGATCGGATAATAACTGTATAAGTTTTTATGGAGGGTAGCCGGTCCCCTTTAGCCATTCCTGAAGGCCATAACTGCCCTTTTTAGCCATCCAAATACTGTTATTGTAAATAGGCTAATTGCAACATAAAAAAACATTTCATAAGACAAAAAAGCTGAAAAAATATGATAACAGATTTGCAGGCATTTAAGTGAAAAAAGATGTTCAAGAACAGAAAGGTTAGTAATGTAAAACTATTCATTCATATAAATAGTTACAATTGCTAATAGATTGATTATGTATTATTTACCAACATATATCTACTATTTTTAGCGCATTTTTTCATTTGTGGAAAAAAAATGTGCTATTGTGCTCGTCATGTTTGTCGGTCTGTCTGTCCATTTCACGTTTTCCTCAGCAAGAAAATGCGCTCTCTGTCACTCACTGCAGTGAGGTGAGTATCAAGTTATATTTTTTCATAAAAGCTTAGGTAATTCTATCTACTTCAAAATATCAGTTTTAATGTAAATACTGGCAATACAATTAGATAATCTTTTAAAAACATTGGACAACATCTTGAAATAAATTTTAAAAAATAGCCCATCAACTGAATGATAGCCCATCAACTTTGCAACTTGAAAAACTTTGCACCCTTTACACCATCTCTGAAAATTGATGGAATGCAAATTCTTGCTACAAATACTATTGGATTATATATGGGAAGTTCCAAATTTATCCAACATAACAGCAAACATATAGTAACTCACCTGATAGTCTGATGTAGTCCAAGAGGATGGAAGATAAGCAGATGACTCACACATTCATTGCTTCAATAAGTCAGAAATTTATGGCAAATTTCTAATCAAAGACACATAAATTGATTAGTACTTCTCAGTCACTTGCCAATAATTGCCTGAAAAAGCAAGTCATTCAATTCAAGTTATTCAACTTGAACAGAGGCAATGGGCTCTGAGCCTGTAAGCCATAGCTGGCATAGCATAATAAAATATATTAGTCAAATCAAAACAATTTTTATAACTTAAAACCATAAAATTTTAATTGGGAGATAACCCAATCAAATTAGCAACTCAATTAAGACAACTGAATAAGCTTGAAGTTGAACTTGTATTAGTTGAAACTTGAAGTTTGAACTTGTATTGTAGACAGACAAGGCAAAGGCAGTGACAGCAAATAAGTGATGTCAAATCAGCAAGTTGCGAAATGCGAACTGACATTGCTCTCTTCACTAGGCTCAGACTAGGACTGAAATAATTTTAGGTATTAGGCTTGAAATTATACTCATAGTTATAGCAATGCTGGTCAAACTCAAATGACTCAAATCCAAATACATTAATCCAGTTGTTTCACAGCCACACCGGATCATCTTTTACCTCAACTCATTAGTCAATAGTGAATACCGAATCCCAGTGTCCCACTCTAGCATCTAGCCTATTTGAAATTGGAAGAAATAGCTACCTAGTCATAAAGAAAAAGAATGAAATGCATAAACAATGAAGACTTTATTTGCTACCACTACCAATAACTAGGGTTTTTTTTAGCAAGGCTAGCCTAGCAAGTTGAGTGGCAGCAACCTAACAATAAGTAAAAGGATAGGTAGGCCTATCACCAATTAGGTGATACCTAATAACCATCTTTGATCTTTCTCAATCTTTTTTAAGGTACCTAATCCAACAGTTGGTACTATCTCCGTTTGCTGAAATATATAACAGTTAAAACTAAAATAAGATAAATTACCTTGGCTGTTGAAATTTATTTTGGATAGATATAATGCATGTACACAACCATTGGCATTTGCAAAGCCAAGACTGAAAAAGAAACTAAGTTCCCTTCACGCCCATAATACCATATCATATCAATGAAATCATCTCGTCTAAATCACACATGAATGCGAGATACCTAACATCAAAAAGCGCCAAATGAAGTATAATAGTAATTGAATATTCCTCAGTGGTTTTTGTAACCAAGAAACAGGAGAAGAAAGACTATTATCTTCGTAAATTTTAGCGAAGAGTCAGTCCGTCCCATCTTGACAAGCAGCTCCTCGAAAAGCAGCTTCCGGATATAACCAACTGCTTACCAACCTCAAGTTAGTAAAAATACACATCAACTGCCGTTTTAGGCATTCAGAAAACTTGGCAAATAATTTAACTCTCATGTAAGTGATTAGTGATAAACCACCATCGTGTCAAATTGCATCGTTTCTCATTCATCCACTTGCAAACTAAGCAACTCCAACTGCATTACCTAGAAGTCAGCATTAAATACCCATAGTATAAATAAATTTTATTCAGAACTTGTACAACCAATAGACAGTATTATTTATCAATATTCTTCCATTAAGAATATGCTTAGCAAGATTTCAAGGACGAATGCAATGAAATTAAAAGGCTAACCCACGCGGCTCCATCGGAGAGGAAGCCGCCATCACGAGATCGCTGCCCGCCAAAATTTAGTTGTCGCAATTCCACACCAATTAAGTAAATTTTAGGCAAAAATAAAACACCTCGCATATTGTTTACTTTGATGAACTCTTCTACGCTTATTCAGGAGCAATTCTGGTTCAAAATATTACCAACACTTTCACATAAACTTAATAATCCGGTGAGCACTTTCCACTGTGTTTGTCAAGGCTTTCGGGAAAAGCAAGTGGCGCCAAAACGAATTCAAGCTCTGGATGAATTTCCCGCCAATGCACAGCCACTGATAGAAGCACTGTTTATTTAAGATTTGAACTTCTGTTCCCCAAATAAATTTTTTATAAGCTTTTTTTGAAAGAATTGCATTGTTAGTCAAACATAAAAGGATTTATATCTCAAATATATTATGCAATAGCGAAAATACGCAGGTATCTTCACATTATAGTGCATGCTGCCACCAGTAGACGGCGCTAGGTGCAAATTTAAAGCCACGAAAATGCATTTGACAAAGGAAAACATGCTTTTAATTAGGATTGCCTTTACAAATAATTTAAATGCACGTGGAGAAGTATTCTCAGATATACTTGCACAATTTACAATGATTATTTTTATGTCATGATATTTATTTATAATATAATGGAGAAAAATACATGGCTGCTAACATAAGCAAAATTGCTAAATTCTATCATAGGAGCCTATAGAGTTATGAAAAATTATTTTACCATCATTGAAAAAATTGCGCATTGAGTTGCAATGTAAACTCCTAAACCGGGAGGATACGATTACTCCGATAGTGCTTTGAACTTTGGTGAGTTGTAATGTAAATCCCTAAACCGGGGGCACGATTACCCCAATAGAATGCTTCAAACTTGGTGAGCGATAAGCTTAAGTAAGCTATTCTTTTGACGTTTCTGCATTTCTTACGGTTGTTAATTGTATTTCTTATTATATAAATTTTTTATGTAAGCTTCAATTTCTGACCAGTTATTTACTTTATCAGCCGAATGATGTACAGCGCAGTTTTTTCCAAACGCACAACTCAACACATTCATCGATTACACTTGTTCGAAATCTAGTCTAGCTCCCTTAAGTCCAGCTGATGCAGCATTGCTCACGATTCGTGACCCAAATGTAATGTATGACGGTATGACCCAAACGTAATAATGAAAAAACTGCAAAATGCACTTCATGCCCAACTGAGTTTGAGCCGGTAAGTTCCATATTAATTGAAAATAAATTAAAACACGCGTACTAGCTAATAACAAAAATTTACACACATTCCGTGGTGTCAGTTGTCGAAATAAGTCTCAAAAGTTGAGATGGCACCACTAAATCCTGAAATCGATGTGGCTGTAGACATCAAATATTGGCGCGGGACATTCAGGCCATCAGTATTTTCCATGTGAATTTTTCTGCATGTTGTTGTTGTAATTGCCCATCCTGCCAGTGGCGACTAGGGAGGGGGGAGCGGTTGTGGTGCCCAAGTGACAACAGGCAACACTGCATCACACTTGAAATCAGAGAACCGCTATCTAGATCGAGATTGTAAGACCAGTCGTCACTCTGAGGTCACCATTGAAGAGGAGTAGAACGGAAACAATTTTTTTTATCTGCGTTTTAATTACTCCTACTTCTTAGACCTCAAATGAGGTCTACACTGAATTTATCGTGGAATTTTCACTGTTCCCTTTACCACGTTTTACTGATTGTTTATCGATAGGAAAATTCCACGATAAATTCAGTGTAGACCTCATCCGAGGTCTACGAAGTAGGAGGAGTAATTGTACGGAATATTGTTTCCGTTCTACTCCTCTTCAGGGTGACAGGTCAGTTTTTCCGGGCACTCTGTACCACTGGTAGTTCTACGACCATCACTGGCTCGCTGACCCGCCAGAACCATTTGATTGCATTACACAACACCCTGGACAAGCCAGGTACTCATTAACCGGGGGCACGATTACCCCAATAGAATGCTTCAAACTTGGTGAGCGATAAGCTTAAGTAAGCTATTCTTTTGACGTTTCTGCATTTCTTACGGTTGTTAATTGTATTTCTTATTATATAAATTTTTTATGTAAGCTTCAATTTCTGACCAGTTATTTACTTTATCAGCCGAATGATGTACAGCGCAGTTTTTTCCAAACGCACAACTCAACACATTCATCGATTACACTTGTTCGAAATCTAGTCTAGCTCCTCAAGTCCAGCTGATGCAGCATTGCTCACGATTCGTGACCCAAATGTAATGTATGACGGTATGACCCAAACGTAATAATGAAAAAACTGCAAAATGCACTTCATGCCCAACTGAGTTTGAGCCGGTAAGTTCCATATTAATTGAAAATAAATTAAAACACGCGTACTAGCTAATAACAAAAATTTACACACATTCCGTGGTGTCAGTTGTCGAAATAAGTCTCAAAAGTTGAGATGGCACCACTAAATCCTGAAATCGATGTGGCTGTAGACATCAAATATTGGCGCGGGACATTTAGGCCATCAGTATTTTACATGTGAATTTTTCTGCATGTTGTTGTTGTAATTGCCCATCAAGCCAGTGGCGACTAGGGAGGGGGGAGCGGTTGTGGTGCCCAAGTGACAACAGGCAACACTGCATCACACTTGAAATCAGAGAACCGCTATCTAGATCGAGATTGTAAGACCAGTCGTCACTCTGAGGTCACCATTGAAGAGGAGTAGAACGGAAACAATTTTTTTTATCTGCGTTTTAATTACTCCTACTTCTTAGACCTCAAATGAGGTCTACACTGAATTTATCGTGGAATTTTCACTGTTCCCTTTACCACGTTTTACTGATTGTTTATCGATAGGAAAATTCCACGATAAATTCAGTGTAGACCTCATCTGAGGTCTACGAAGTACGAGGAGTAATTAAAACGCAAATAAAAAAATTGTTTCCGTTCTACTCCTCTTCAGGGTGACAGGTCAGTTTTTCCGGGCACTCTGTACCACTGGTAGTTCTACGACCATCACTGGCTCGCTGACCCGCCAGAACCATTTGATTGCATTACACAACACCCTGGACAAGCCAGGTACTCATTCATCAACCAGAGTTGAATGAATGGCTGAGTTGACCATGAGCTGAGCTTCCCGGTAGACCTTGTCCTAAGTGGGACTCGAACCCGGGCGCTGGGTGCGAGAGACAGTCTCTCGCCACTGCACCACACAGCTGCAATTTTTCTGCATTGTCTTGTGCAGTAATTCTCCAGCAAATATTTTAATGTTCATTGCTTCGAGCAATTAATAACATATAACGCACTTTCAACGCGGAGAAAACATGTAAGATTATAACTAAAATCCCTTCAATATAAAAAGCCTCGCTTCAGAAATATTCTGGCGCTGAAAGGAAAATGAAAGTCGAACTTCAAATCATCATGAACATTGAATAAATAAAACAATAATGGAGTGTTGCTTCGGATACAAACAAAATCTTGTAGTACGGCTTGCACATTAAATGAGGCAGGCAAAAACACAAGCTGACTCAAAAGTGTAAACTTTTATTAAACAAAATGTAAGAATTGTTTTAAATTAGGGATTTGTTCAACTGAAATTACCACACATTGCCGAGCAGGCATCATTGACATGAACAGGCCTAAACTGCGCTCTAGACAACTTTCACCAGTAGAATGGGATAATATTGATACGACTTAGCCAACATAGGAGATTGTGGATAAAGTAGACATTATAAATTGTGATTACTAGTTGCATAGATATAGTAAGACAAGTTCTTAATAGCCTTGAGTAAAAAGTAGAGACGAACGAAATAGATAAAAGTAAAAAATAGAGACAAACGGAATCAAATTTCGTTCAAGGCGCATAAGCATGATTTTTGGTACGTAGCAATATATGACATTCATGAATAGGCACACAGACAACTATTGAGAATTACTGCCAGCCAAAGCTTTCCGCAATCACACAATTGCTCAGAAAGGACATTTCAGTCACCCAGAGTATACATTTAATTCGTTCAAAGCAAAATTGTACGTACACGGAAAACTAAATATTCGTTGCAGCAACCAAGCTATGGAGGCAAGTAAAAAAATAATGGTGGAGAAACTCAATTCTAGGAGAATAAATGAGTAAAACGAAGTACACGTATCTCACAACAAATGTATGAAGTTTGAGTCCACATGTTTAATAGGAAGTTCAGTCTTCCTACAGAGAAGATGACTTCACTTGAAAGAGAGACGTCTGGAACCAACAATGCTTTCACTTGTCAAAATTAGAAATAAACCAAAAAATATTCAAGTTATTCAAATGCTGGATAACAATCCAACATTAAATGATAATTAAGCTAATTATCAAAGCAAGCTCAAGCTGACTCAAAACAGCATCATTGGTAGCTGACCGTGAGAGCGAGCATACAATGCAAATTCAGCTAAGACTAGGAAAGGCAGCACCGCATATTTGATCAGATTTACAATAAGAACACTGAACAAATATATTTTTATTCCGTACCAATTCCGTATTGCTCTGTAAAATGTTTCCAAGATAACATACTTATATATGTCGTGCCATAATCGCGGAATTGCCAATTCTATAAATCGGCAGCCAGTTTTCCGAATGTGTAGAATCAGCATTTCTTTGCTGATTCAGAAAATCGGACGTTAGAGTTGTAACATAAATCAACAGTTAGAGTTAGAAAAGATTAGGCCAAGTTCCTTTTTCATTCAAATATAAAAAAAATGGCTGACTGACCTAACCCCAGATTCCTCTGGTATAGAAATGCTGATTCTACCGGTTCGGCAAACTGGCTGCGATTCCATTGAATTGGCAATTCCGCGATTTTGGCACTACACATATATATACATATCAAAAAAAAAAAAGCTTTAAGAAAAACAAACCGCGGGATGGGGAGCTACCACGCAGCTCCTGGAAAAACAAGCCTTGAGTTCATTTCCACACCTTCTAAAAATTAATTTGAACTTGGATTAAAAAAGGTAAAAAGAAACAAGAATCGGTCGCAGTAATATAAACGTCTAGGTTTCAAAATGAATAGAACAACTTGCACTCCGCGCGAATTGAGACTAAAGTTTCAGAGATTTGTCATCTGACAATGCCTGCCAAGAAATAGCGATGGTACATTTAACGGTCGTAAAGCTAGTGTACTTAACAGCGCGAATTAAGACTAAAGGTTTAAGTTTTGAGAGACACTTTTTGGCAAGCTTGTCATCTGACAATGCCTGCCAAGAACTTGTCGAGGTCGTACTCGTCGTGATACTGTGAGTGCTCCCACAGTTCAGGCAGGCTCTCAATCACAGCTTTGGGGGCTCCGGTCCCCAGCATCTCGATGGCTTGGTCTCCGCTAGCACACTCCTTCTTCTTATTCGAATTTTCCAATGAAAAGAGGTCCAAAATCTGAATGGAAATGGACATTATTATTTAACATTATGGTTTATCAAACAGCTTAGAATACACTTGCTGCCAAAAGAGTGGCCCACAACAAGAAATTTCAAACAAATTACACTACAAGTATGTGCTAGATGATACGAAAGGTTGCGATCGCGACCATACAAGAAAATAACCAACAACTGGCATTTCCATACATAATTTGTGGCTTTTGTGCAAAAATTGTTAACCTGTTCAGTTCCCATGCTGGTGATGTTGGCGTTGTCATGGCTGATGATGGTGTTAGCGGTCATCATTTTGAATTTTTGCAGCCTGTGGTGGTTAGACGAAAAGAGTTAGTATTTGATGAAATAATTTATCAACTATTTCCTGGCTCAAGAATAAACACAAAAGAAATTTGACAAACATCGCTGAACGAAAGTATCATCAAATCAAAAATAGATACTTTTAAACATAGATTTTGTTGCAATCGACAAATTCAAGGCACAATACTCGCCCCATTATTTTCTCTTCCAATGTGTTGCGGGTGATGAGTCGGTACACAGTGACGACCCTCTTTTGGCCTATCCTGTGCGCACGATCCATTGCCTGCAGGTCCGTCATGGGGTTCCAGTCGTGTTCCACGAATATTACCTGCGTGCACAGAGACCATAGTCGTCACAGAATGGATGCATGTCATTGAAACCACGACTAACGCTGCGGGAACTGCGAGCAGCTCACCGATAACTACATATACTGTAGTGATTGCCATAATAAATCTAAAAAAACAGGATGAACTACAAGTACTGCAGTAAGTGTTGTAGGGAGTGCCGCAAAAACAAGCCTAGGAAGTGGTTCACATGACGTACGGTGTCAGCAGCAGTGAGGTTGAGGCCGAGCCCGCCGACTTGAGTGGTGAGCAACATGACGTCTATGGAAGGGTCTTCATTGAAGCGCTGCACCAGACCGTGGCGCAGCCCTGCTGGTACAGACCCGTCCAGCCGCACGTACGTCACGCTGGGCATATGTATCCTGAGAAATAAAAGAAGAGCTTCCAATAACTTCCATGTGAATAATTCAAGTTCATGGTATCATGATTGAGAAATTGAATTAGCAATGCTCGCGCCAACACATCATTGCAAAGTATTAAAAGTATTTACATACATTGTACCAAAGAAGCTTAACTTGAATGGAAAATCGTTGTAAGTGGTCAACAAAAATGGTGGTCTTGCCAAAATGTCTGATATTACAGAAGCAAGACTCACTTAAACAGATCGTTTTCAATAATATCGAGCATATTGCGAAGCTGGCAGAAGATGAGAGCTCGGTGGGGAGCTATCACGCAGCTCACGTCCACAGCAGGAGTCGAGTTACAGCTACTGTTAGACGTTCCGATTCCGCACTCCAGCAACAGCTCCCTGATGGTGGAAGTTTGTGGCTGATTTTATGTCCTACTAACTAGAAACATTGAAATGTTCGCATTTTCACGTCAAGTTCGCAAAAATTAGTGTGATGCAGTCTGAATTTATAAATGCTCGCCAAATATTTTATAAAAGGCCCTAATTCAGTGATCTTTGTTGTTTTACCAATGTTAACACGTCGACTCCGAAGTGGTACATAAGCGTACCACAAAATGTATTTCTCCAGGACGTAGTGGTACATAATTCAGGTTGCCTAAAATCGGCCAAATCCGAGAGCAAAATAGACCAAAAAAGGCCGATAACTCAATATATACTAGTTTATTTGTAGATTCCGCTATGAAAATTCCATTTATTTTTTTTTTTTTTTTTGCAGTACTTAAAATTTAATTCGGAAGTACCCCTATCATAAATTTTAGCCGGCCAACGCAATTGTGAAAAACTAAATCACAGAATTTGTCCGGAAAAAATGACCGTCTGGCAACTCTGTTTAATAACGGTACAAAAGATGAAATAATAGTACAAGATGAAGCAATCGGAGTAAAAGGGTTAAGTACTAAGGCATTGTTTTATCAACATTAAGACAAACCTGCTAATAGGCCAATATTGTGTCACCTACTAGTAATACAACAGTATCATATATTCATTGGAGAATGAATCCAGAGACGAGTCTCATAACCGAGAAACAGCAAAAGAGTTCCCGGACATATCAATAAACGCAGCATACCATTAAGATACTCACTTGAGAGCAGGAAGCTTAGCAGCAAAGGAAATATTGTGTAGCTGGGAAGGAGTTACGCCCACGCGCTTGAGCAGTGCCGCATAGCGAGGGTGTTGTGGTCGCAGAACCAGCGCGGGATGGTTGCACACAAGGCGCAAATATTGAAGGGCCTGAGAAAGTAGACACGACCATTTCGAATAATTATGATATGCGTTACCTGATAAATATACAAACGTGTTTAGTAAACATAACACCGGACATAGGCAATGTAACGGATTTTAATCGACTTCCTTATCACACACTGTGCGGCTGGCATTTTAGTTAAAAAATATAACTCCGTACTCACTGCAGTGAGTGACAGAGAGCGCAATTTCTCGTCGACGAAAATTTGAGTTCACGGACAGACGGACGGATAGACAGACGGATATGGCAAGCACAATAGTGCATTTTTTCCATAAATGAGAAAATGCGCTAAAAAGAGTAAAATTACGTTCGTTACACTTGAATTTTCAAAACGAGACTCCAGAATGTCATGAATCAATACTTTTCCATATAAAAAGAGACTGTTCAAGTGAATTTCGAACAAAAACGTCATAACAACCTGGAAGACGTGGGTTTTGGGCACGTGATCATCTTGGAAATCTTCACCCTGGGAGTTAACGAAGTCTTCATAAAGGACTCTCTGCACGGAGCTCAGTTCACAGTAGTAGTCTTGCATGATCTTGGGTGGCAGTTCCTGCAGTACGTCCTCCTTCAGTCGGCGCATCATAAAAGGCAGCGCTTGCCTGTGCAGCGCCTCCATGGCTACCACGCCCGCTTCTTGCTCGCTGAGCGACGCTTTCACGTCGCGAGATGCCAGGATGGGGCGAACGTACCTACCAAACATGCTCATTTCTAACATAACATATTTTCAAACAAGATTTTAGGTTACAATAATATCCAATGATAAAAACCAATGCGTTGATGATTCAAACTATCACACAACCATTCCATGTTTCACTGATTTCCGAACACTCAACAGATAATCTACAGACTCCACCGGAAAGCAAGATAATCTATATTCTAGAAGAATATCAGTAAGAGTTTGCACTACATCGAAGTTTAGGTTGCTGCAACACGGATGCGCACATGACGCTTTAGCACAGCACTCACTTTAAAGTGAACTGGCGTTCGGTTCCGAGATAGCCAGGCATGAGGAAGTCGAAGAGAGACCAGAGTTCCAAAACGTTGTTCTGTATGGGCGTCCCGGACAAGATGAGGCGGTGGCGACCTGTCAGGCGTTTGATTGCTTGGTATGCCTAGCGGGAGAAAAATCAACGTCAAGGAAAAATGGGTTTTATTCACAGAAAAAAAAACAATAACTTAATGAATCATACACAACGTATCGTATGTTCAAATAATAACGCCCAAAAAAATTTTTAAAATGGTAATAATGAATGCTGATTAATGTCGATTATCAACCAGGAATTGCTTACTTTTGTTTTCGTGTTCTTTATGATATGTCCTTCATCTAGGACAATGTAGAGCCATTGGAAGGTGGAGAAAAATTCTATGTCGTTGCGAACAATATCGTAAGACGCCACCACCAAGTTGTGGGAGGAGAACTTCTCGCGCAACCTGAACGAGAGGAAACATAAGCGTGGGCAGTAGAAAAATAACCAAATCTGCTGAAGTAATGTTTACCTCTTCAAACCACCTAAATTCAAGTGGCAGAGGCGCCAAAAGGAAAGAAGTATTCCATAAAAGCTGTACATAAAGTCTCTAAACAGCATGAAAAAATGAATTCAACTCATTTCGATTGGATGGAGAAACTTCTAGAGATGTCTATGATGAGAAGCATTGAGAGTTTCAGATTCTCCATTCACATCAAAAAATACTTTACTGAATAGATTTAATTCTAGACAACAAAGATGAAGATTTCATAGGATTAAAACAATGGCTAGGTGAGGACTAACTTGATCCGTTCAGCAGGCACGCCGGTGAAGTTGAGAGGCTTGATCAGATCGTCAGTAACAAACTTCTTCACCTCATAGACCCAGTGACCGCTGAGGGTGGGGGGACAAACCACCAAGGATTGCAGTAAAGGCTTGTAGCTCTCACCACAAGCCTGAGTTGCGCACGAAGCATGTCGTTAGCAAACCCGACGAATTAAGAACCTTGAACATTACACGAGAGAAATAACTCCCTCAGCATTAAATGAAATTTTCAGCAATGAGGTCCCAAAATTTTAGCCCTAACCAACATTAGGAATAAAGGCTTCAAAAATAAAAGCGTGTGCAAGTTAGACTGACATAAAACTATTTATAGCTGATAAATATTTGAGCCAATAACAGTTCATAATTCGAAACAATGTTGATTTCTCAGAAGAATTTGCTTGTTTCCTCCAGAAATTACTAAAAAAAATTCCCACAGGGAATGGCGAGGAATTTAATTGCACGTGAAAGAAGTTAAAGTAAAAAAATTGTTATTTTGTCAGAGCAGCGCACACGAAATCAGGGAGAGCAATAAAAGCCTTTTAATCGCCTAATAAAAACAAGACCTGTTGCCGCGTGCGGTGCTCATGGTGGGTGGCGGCAAGGATGCAGATGGTCTGGAGGGTCTTGCCCAGTCCCATGTCATCACACAAGATGCCGTGCACGCCGAAGTCACGTAGAAATGCCAGCCAGTTTACACCAGCCTGCTTAACCAAATTTCTTGAAGAACTTCTACTGTCATAATATTTAGAGATGATTCTAAATTAGACATGTATATCTCAAATATTTATATTCAATTCAAAACAAGAAAGCCAAAAGACGCCTTCACACAAATGGAGCTACGTCACCTCACGGAATATGAACCTCGTAGCAGACATGTAAAGCCCTGTTTTCACAACAGTATGCTAGCTTGAACCTCGTTAGAATGCTGGTACCGACCTGCTGATATTGGCGCAGCTCGCAACTAACGCGCACAGGTAGAGGGTAGTGGTGAGCTCTCTTGCCATCCATAAGTTGCTTCAGGAACTCGCGGTGGTGGAGGCGCTGCTGGCAAAGATGCTCCGGCATGTCAGGCGGATCAGGTACACATCCGTCCAGTGGCAGCAGCCGCACCAGCGACGCAAACACTTCACTGCCAGCAGCACGCACGCTCTTGTCCGAGTCGCTGCTGCTGCCTGAAATTGTACAATACCGCTTACAGGATGCACTCTCCAGAGTCCAGTTATAATATCTATTTTCCATGGTTAACTACTACCGCATGAATCGTTTGATTTAATTATTGGTCTTAAAATTTAAAGAACAACTGACAGATGAACGGACTTGTGACATTATTTGTTTCATTAGGAGGTGACATTGAATGTTTTAAATTTGCAATTCTGGAAGTGCCTTTGATAACCAAATGGATAGCTATGAAGTGTACGCCAGGAGTAAAGTATGATTTGACAAGAGTAGTAAATGAGATTTTTTAACTGAAAACGCTTTGAGAAATTTGTGTATCTTAAGAAGACATTAGCAAGTATCGAGTTAAATACTGACCGAGCAGAGGTACAAGAAGAAGAACAACATAAGGCAGGATGTCCAAGTCGAGCTTCTTGACGATCATGTAGAAGCACTCGACAGCTCCCTGTCTCCTGACGATGCTGTGTACATCACTAAGAGCAGGCAGCAGATGTTCCAGGAGGTACACCATCACGGACAAAGGCCGCACACTCACTAGACATGAGAGCGCCCGAGCTGCCATGTGGCGCACGGCGCAGTAGCGGTGATACAACAGCAGCTCCAGAGACCCAAGATGATCGCATATCTGAACCGCAACAAGCTCACGTTTAATATTTATTTTCAACAGTCACCTTATTAGTTCACTTGTGATAATCACATAATATCGAAACGAAATTCAAGAAAAATCAGCAGGTAAACTGATAGAGGTAAACTGGTTCAACTTAATTAAAAGTGAAATATCTATCAACCCAGCGGATGAACAGGATGATCACAATACTTGGGCCTTACTTTAAAAATTCCCCAAGTACACGTAGCTGCCGATTTTTTGCCAATTATTGGCGATAATATGCTTACCTATGATTGGCAATTTTAGCTAGAAAAACCGTCAGTTATTGGCTGCTGATGAGTTATTACGAGCTCTAATTATTTTCGATAGTAAGGCCCACGGTTTCTTACCAGGACAAATTTTAAAGCCTGACCTGGTCCAGCAGTTCCGGCACGAGATCGGGGATGACGACCTCCAGCAGCTGCAGCCAGTTTATGATGTCCTGAGCCTTGACGTCGCCGTTCGGAGAGGAGCAGTTCCTTTCATGGCGATTGGGGCCGTCAGAGGTGGTGGCTTGGCCGGGATTGAGGGTACTGTTGTTGGGGACATCGTTGCGGCTGAGGATATTAGCAACAGAGAAAGGACAATGTGCTAAAGGTGATGACGCAGGGACTGTTTTCTTTTTCCTAGCATCTATTGGCAGAGAAGAGACATCCGACTTTCCAGCCTGGCTGACGATGGGTTTGTGCAGAGAATCAGGAGTCACGAGTGGCTTGTAGATCGTCCCCCAAAGCACTGGTAACCGCTCAGGAAGTGATGAACCAAAACCACGAACCAAATGTTGTATTGCAAGACCGCAGCCTCTTCTTTGTATGAATATTTTAGCCAACTCCTAGAACACAATTCGGAGATATACGAAGAATTAGTTAGGATAACAGCAACAACAGATATTGACTTTGACGTGTGACGCCTTTTTTACATTATTATCAAAAAATATTCTCATGTGTTACTCTAACAAGTTATTGAGAGGCATAGTTTGAATAAGCATTCATCAGGCAAATATCTGATTCCAACTGATTTTTGATGCGGATGTTGCCATCTTCAGCTACAAATAGCACGTTCACTCCCAACCGTTCTTTCATATTTACACAAACATGGAATTTAAAATATTATATTATTGATGGAGAATTAGATTATGAACCAACAACTTCGCTGGTTGTGATTATTAAAATTACAAACATATTGTTCAATTTTAATAAATTCAAATTCGATCTAAAAATTATCAGTTTGAAAGTTATCGTTTGCACATGTATAACAAGTGCAAAAATTCAAGTGCATAAGAAATATCTTAATGTCTCTCTAGTGCATAATCAGAACGCAGAGCGCTAAAAAAATTCCAAAATGTATAACAACTTTGATGCATTTCAGCAAATAAATGGTTAGATAACGCCCCCGATAGTCTAGAATAAGCTCCTGGCGGATTCAAACGACTCACCGCTTCCGAGCGTTTAGTACTGTTGGCATGAGCAGCAGGTTCAGTAGCAGCAGGAGTGGTGATTTCAGGCTTGGGGTTGGCGGGCGGACGCCCTCTCCGGCGCTTCACGACGCTATTACCACCGTCGCCCTGCTGCTGCGGGGCGGCTTCAGCCACCGCCGGAGTGGCATTGACATCGACTGATTCCTGGGCACAAAAACCAATGTTACAAATAAAACGAATATTTTTCCAGATTAGATATAACGTGTGGAATCAAACATAGAATACGATGGATTTAAATGAGGTCGTGCATTACAACGACGTTTAGTCTTAAACCAATTTTTCGAGTAGACTATCAAAGCCAGGTAAAGTTTTAGATTCACAATGAAACGACTAAGTTTGTTTGCTTAAAAGATAAAACCAGTTCCAATATTCTGATTAGAGAACAGGAATTGGGAATTATAATTTTGATTGCAATTCAGGATAATAGCAAGAGGAATAAAGAATGTGGGGAAAATCTACCTTTATGGTAAGTTTAAAAAAGTTTCAAGTTTCTATTTGAGATCATTTCAAGTCTTCATTTGAGACCGCAAGTATACAGCAATGACTGGTATATATTGAAATTGCCGCTAGGGGGACAAGGTGGGGCTTGTGAGAGGCTGTTATCTAACACGAAGGGCTCCAAGAGAGAGATAGTCCTCGTGATAAGAGCCTAACCAGAAAATTAGGGACCATCACAACCGCAACATCCCTCTAAAAAACACACACACACAACAAACAAACACAAACCGTACAACTAAAACAACAACAATATCATAAACAACATATACCAAATTCATCAATCACTTTGGCGCAATCTTTTCTCTCCACAAACACACCAATTCACTCACTTCAAACAACCCCACCACACACTCTCCATCATTCACATAATACAATATATTCGCATCTGGCAGGCCTGGAACATGGTGAATGGCGCCAAAAGTACAAATTTCGTGAGAGGTACGGAAGTTAGATTGCAGTCCTCGTCCTCGTCCAGATAGGATTTCTGTACTAGGGGCGGGGGTTCGTTTTAGTGATTTTCTTCGAAACTTTTTTCGAGTCCCCACGCGTGTAACGAGCGAGCGTGTGGTGAGCTAGTGCGGCGGTGTTCAAACGCCAGGGTGATAGTACGGGAACGCTAGAACGTCATAGCAAGGTTAGTTAGTTTAGTGGCCAGATGTTTACTAGCGCTACAGCTATTGAGCTATCTCGTACCGAAAGTCAAGATGAACATCACCAACAGGGTGGAAGGTCTCAGTTATGGAAAGTTTCTTAAACGTCATAGCAAAGAAGTACTCGTGTTGCCGACGAGGATTCGACTGGAGATAATAAGTGCCCGTCACCGCTAAAGACAACATAAAGCCACGTTTCTATGAGAGGATTGGAATCTACTGCCGCAAGTACGGCATGAAGTCGCCACTCAGCGCGTTCATTTAGCCAGCCACTGCTGAGAAAACCGAAGTCTCATTTCAACAAGTTAAGGTGGAACCAGAGCAGTCATGGACCGACAGCTTGCTCAGTAGACCGGGCGATATATTTAGACAGAGTGTCTTGCTGTTTATTTAGGGATTTAATTATCTGGTTTAGGGAGATAACCTAAGCCATCTGGCAAATTGATGTCCAGACCATGTCCAGTCGTGAATCACACTGTGTTAGATTTGCCGATCTCGAAATAACTGTGTTTGGATATTCCCCCGTTTTTTTCCAGATACCGCCCAAGGTTATCCGCCAAGTCTAGATTTCAAAACTGACGAACTAGGGTTGAGGATACCGACCTAGAAATAACGTAACGTTAGAACAGACCACATTTTAATCAAAAACTGTTCTTATTTCGGTTTTAAAGTACAACAAGTGTTTCATTTTCCTTCTGTGAACTCGATTAGTTCCTGTTTTTGCAGAAATAGTTTGCTATAGAAATAGAAATATTATGTTAAGTAAACAGTGTCAACATATTTTGCTTCTTTTGACTATGCAATGACGACGTGTGTCCCAGGAGTTACCTCGTGTTGGCTCTTAATGAAGAAGACTCCATCAAACTTGTCGTCGTGTGGGCGCACCTCGGCAAGCTGTCAGGAGCAGAGCAGCGCGTTACCGACACCGTGTCAGGATACAAGAATAAACCTGAACTACCTGAACCTGTCATAAACATTATAGATTCAACATAAAAAATGTCCGCACTACACAACTAAAAATCAACGAAATTTTCAGGATTACACGCAGCATGAAAATGAAATTCAATGACTTACATGCGCAATGTTTGGCGTGTGGGCGGTATCAACACAGTAGTAGGACGTGAGATTTTTCACCACCTTGGCATTCGTCCTCTCCCTCAGTGCACAAAACTCGAGCAGCACACTCAGGTCCCTGCCAGCGTTGCTCTGAAACATTTAAAATACTTGTAAGAGACTAGAATCTATAAAACAAATGTAGTAGTAAATTACAAGCGTACTCTCACTTGCCAATACAGCTCAAGCATGAAGGCTGCATGGATCAGCCTCCATATCACTTACCATGTGACCAGCACACGGTGCATATTAAACTCACCTGTAGCTCATGTGACCAGCACACGGTGCATACTAAACTCACCAGCAGCTCATGTGACCAGCACACGGTGCATACTAAACTCACCTGCAGCTCATGTGACCAGCACACGACGCATACTAAACTCACCTGCAGCTCATGTGACCAGCACACGGTGCATACTAAACTCACCTGCAGTTCCTCATTGTCCTGGTATTTGATGACGTCCATGAGCGGCTTCACCACAGGATTGAGCTTGGCAGGCACGAGCCCCATACACACCAGCGCGCCGGCAGCCTTCCCTCGGACTCTGTACCCCATGAGGATTTACGTTATTTGGATGAACCATTAAAACGAGTTTATGAACGTAGGTTTTTCTATTGCGAAAATTTAGAGCTTAATTTATCCGCAGGACACATAAAAACAACATCTAATACAAATTTTATATGTAAAAAGATTTATGTATTTCACATATATTGATGAAAATATACTTGGGTCAAAAATCAAAATAAATTATAATTCCACAGTTGATGTAATCAATAAAATTCAAGGCAAATCTAAAAATCCTTAGAACTGGAGATTCTTTGCCTAAACGACCAACACATTAACAGGTCCGCATCTATTTGTGTGAGCAATTAAAATACATGCAATTATTGAGCAAAAATAAGTCGTTCCAATTTATCTAAAATCAATAAGCATAATTGCGAACAAGTCTATGTGATGGATACAATCCTCTAATAAATAAGCAGGTTATTAGACTGAACCAGTAGCTGGCACATCAAGAGGTCTTGCGTATACTCACGCGAGCACATGGGCCTCCTGGATGGATGTGGTGGAGGCGAGAGAAGACTGCACGGTGCGGCGTCGCGTCTCCAACATGTCACGGACCTTCACACGCAGCTTGGACGACTGCAGCTCTTCCTGCACCCACTGGCCGAGCACCGCCTCACCCATCTAAAAGAATTGGAGGAACGAGAATGCAACATAGATTAGAAGCAGTTTTATGGTTGTTGTTTTACACAAACATTTTGCCGACTTGATTAGAACCCGTTGCTTTGTACTCTGACGTAAACCCATATGGTCAAGGAAGTTTTTACCGAAAATAATTCTAAAGCGAAATGATCAGTCGTTCTTTTATTTAGCAGTATTGGATGCTAGTGACGAAAAAAATCACAGTTGACAACGAAATCTTTGTCAAGTTAGGGTTGCTGCAGACATCTGAAATGAACTGGAACTAAGAAATTGAAATTCAAAAGACCCAAATTTTCTTTGCCTATGCAATATTGTCAACCTCCAAGAATGAAAAAGAAATGTCGCATAAAGAAAAGAGCTCCGATTTTTAATGCTTGAAATTTACACACAGCTTCCATGGTACCGTACAAAGAATTTAATTTCATATTTTACAATAAATGAATCGCATTTTCTGAAAACAACAAACCTGTAGAGTGGTTAATTAGGAATAAGATTGTTACGCTTACCTGATCCAGAGTGTAGACCGGGGCGAGGATGAGCTCATCTGCCACCCGCAAGCCGTAATGCCGCATCAGGGATAAGAAGTCCCGGACGTCGTGCTGGAGCCTGCCATACATCAATGTTACGTTAGCTCTAGTACTGACATAGTTCTCCAGAATGAATGGAATGTCTTTCAAAATTACAATCCACATATAAAAACATTTGTATTGTGAGACAAGGATATAAAAACGAAACAGAAAAGAAACTCATGTTCATCATTTGGAAACGATGCAGATTTAATACTGTAGAGGGAAATGCACATTTTATAGATGCTTCATATATTTATGTATTGTAGCCAAAGTGAATCTGACATCAGCCCGATGTTTCCGGATCGTATTTTAAGTACTAGGTACTTTATCGTACTAGGTTTTGTGATCACCTGCTAATGAAGTAGGACTAATATCTTCGTCTCTTATGACTTAACCTTCAATGTTAATTGAGTAAAGTTGAATCTGTACTAATTTAGGGATTTTAGGCGACTGAAAATTTTATCAAGTTTAATTTATTGAGCGTTTGTTCCTCTGTTGGCGTTGAATCGCGAAGAATATGATGAACCAAATGGGTTATTGCGGACAGCTTATAGTCACGGGTTACGCCCAGTTGATACAAGCACCTGTAACAATAGCAGTTAAGCAATTATGTACATTAAACACCGGCTAACATTTTAAGGACACTCACTTGGTGAAAGCGACAGCGATCTCGTCATAATATAGTGGCTCTGACAGGCAGTTGAGAAGTGCATCATAAAGCTCTTGCATAACCGATGTTCTGCAGGTTGCACTTCCGTCGGCCTCATTGCCACAGTCATTACTCCCAGAAACAATACCTATCGCTTGGTTGCTATCAAGCTCAGAAGCACTACTGGCAGAATTTGTCTTGACGCTATCAAGACCATTAGGACTGGCCATGCTTTCACTGACATTCTTGCTCAGGCCCGCAGAAGCACCGGTGTTAGCGGCAGGCTCGGGTAGAACAGACGATATTTTCTGAGGCGTCGCAAATGCAATAAACTGGTGACTATCACAGAAAGAAAATGACGTCGTGGAATTGACAGCGCTCTGAGGTGGCTCGGAGGAAGACTCTTTGCTTGACCCAGACGACTGCAGCCGGCGCTCGTGGTGGTGGCGGGTGTGTGCTAGTGCCCAGTCCCTAGCGACGGAGGCTGCGTTGGTGCGGAGGTAGGCAGAGCGAGACGCGAGTTGGGACAGCAGAAGGCGCGTGTAACACTTCAGGGGCTCGTCAATGCTGCTGTATGCTACGCCACGCATGGGTTCACTAACGTACACTGAGAGCTCGCCTGCAAAATGTATAGTTGTTTGAATATTTAAAACTTACTACTAAAACTGAGGAGTTCATTGTGAAAGAATTTGCAACGTTTGACAGCGTCATTAGAAAATCAACAGTCTTAAATGTTTAACAGTGTCATTTAAAAACAGTCTTAAAGGCTACAAAAGATCCGGCAGAGCGATTTAAAAAATCCAAAGAAAATATAAAAATTTTAAGTTTCTTCATAACAAACTAAAATACCAGATACACTATTGCACATCATGAGTGAAAATAGAAATATCTCGGTATGTTTTACACCAAGTCTCGATAACTACGCCCAGTATTAGGAAGATTATAATCACAAGCCAATATGACAACGTAATAGACGATCTGAATTCATTTTTAAATAAATGCAAGATTAGCAAGATCGGACTTTTTATATTAAATTTAGAATGAAAAGCAACGCAGTTAAGCAAACTCACCGAGTAGTCTGGTTGAGTAAGTCTTGCACTGAGCCAGCTGCTCTTTCTTGCAATGCTGACTGCCTCCCACGAAGCACGGCAAGGAAGGGATGCTGGTAACATCGCCCGTTCCTGCCTCCCGACACAACTTGCCTTCAGTGCTCGCCTGAAAGTCGGAAAGGAACATTTCGTTACTCGCAAGCAAAAATTGTATATTCATTGACTAAGGTGCCCATATGGTAGTTCGACTACCATAAGAGCGATTGACTGCACACACAATGTACCTAGTATTGGATTAAACATTATGGTTGATTCATTGCTCCAGAATCTTTCTCGAGTCCATCAAAAACCGAAACTTAGCAACCACGTTGTAATTTACAAGGTGTCTTTCAGGATTCAACGAGAAATATGAGTTACCGTTGAAACAGAGAGCAAGAGGAGAGATGAGTCGAGGGGCACGGCACCAGGCGTGGCGGCGAGAGAGAGCCACAATGACACCATTGGACAGGCGCTCACCAGCACAGCGTTCAGAGAACATCGACGCAACACTTGCTGCCATACCTAAGAATAAATAAACTAGCTAAATATAATGTAATTACCAAATAATTGTCAAAAGAACGCATCCTTATTAATTCTTTATCCAAGTGTTAGTAATCAACTAATGGATTTACCGACAAATTATTAGATAAAATTGCACAGAGCTAAACAGTCCCTCATACCTGCTCAAGTAGCTTTAAATTCTTCAAACAAGTTTCCAACAAAGACCGCTGGAAAAGATGACGTAGTAGCGGGGAAAGAATTGGTTCACACCACTGCTGAAAAAGATGCTCACTCGGCGTCAATTCTTCACCAGTAGAAGTGACGATAACCTGAGGTTCTCTCCCAAGTGCAGGACTTGCTTCACAAGAAGTGATGGAAGCAGTTGAAGGTTTGGCAGTTCCTGAGAGTTCACAGCTTTGTACTTCAAAATTAACGCTACTACGACTAGACTCGCACTTCACTTCTAAACTAGGCGAGGTTGAACTACTGGCAGAACTGCATGGCTGAGAGGATGATGGGATTTCTGTTATGGTGCTTGAGATCTCATCGAATTGATTGAGCTTGACTTCAGATGGCAGATTTTGATGTTTAGGTTTGTGAGAGACTAGAGGAGCGTGAGTGGTCGGTTGAGGGAGAGTGAGGGCGAGCAGCGTGGTGAGGGCAGAGCGACGCACGCTGCTGCTCGCGTGGTACATCAGAGGGAACAACCGCGGCACCAACTCGCGCAGTCTGCCCTCCTCCAGACTGAACAGACAAGATGGCACATCAAATATTTGATCAAGTAGACAGATTCTTGTTCAATTGTACGTGAGTCATTTGCTTTCAATTATTTGGGAATATGAACAGTTCCCGGAGAGTTTAACATCATTTAATAATTCAATCCAAAGCATCATCGCATAAACAAATAATGATTTCAAGTATAGTATTATAGCAAAGTACCTATACAAGGACAAAGACATGCAATATTTGAATAAGAGACTACCTATCGTGATGTGCAAGATACGAATCCTACGTTCAAAAGCGAGAGAGATTATAAAATGAAATAGCACAAGGCAAAATACTAAATGAAGCAAAGAACCTACGCGTGAAGGGAAGCCTTGTGCTGCATTAGGTTAGCCAAGAGCAAGAGGAGCGCAGGCGTGAAGGCGGAGAGGTCGTCGACGTGCAGCAGGGACTGCCAGACTGTCGTTAGCAGCTCCTGCAGTTGAGGTTCTGATAGCCAGTCAACTAGAGACGACCTCACGTTAGCTCCTGCATCAACCAACGTTCCTCGGTCAGTCAAACGCTTTGCAGCCGCTATAACCTTTTCATTTCTAGATAGTTTTCCAGATGCTTGGTCACCACATTTGTCGAGCGTGAATGATGAATATCTTCTGAAAGCGGGTGCGGCAGTGGAGCTGGAGTTGCGCGGGTCGCAACACACTTTCAGACACTCTGCTGCCACCCCAACTACTTCGTCTGCCGCGTCCTTCAGACCTGCAACAGACCATAATAATGCATAGCAAAGAGACCTGATGTACATCACTTAATAACGTATAGCAGTTATTATTTACACAACAAAAAATTGATATCGACAACTTATTTGAGAAAATATAGGTACATTACTAAAGTTCAAAGATTATACACCATACAAACTTAGATTCATAATTTCATTAACTCGTCTCAACTACTATTTTGACCTTATCCATTCTTGGAAATCATTCGGATTTTTATTAAGCATCATGACTACTATGTAGCTATATTTTTGGCTTATTACTTAAATTATTCATTAATTTTGGCATCATTAAGCTGCTTGCCATTCGTTTTAACATGTCTCTAGCCTTAAGGGGAATTGTTAAATAATAATTTTTCTCTCAAATCTACAGGTGTCAGGCTGGCTGCAATTAAATAACCTACGAAAATGGTTAAAACCGTGCAAGACAGAAAATAGAGGCACCGTTTACAATGATCTGTCAATGCAGGAATTACAATTTGATCTGCAAGGGGTGGTTCTGCTGATGAGGTGCATGTTGGTGACACCCAGGACTGGGTGCTACCTAATGATATATAGCCAGTGAAATGACCTTGCTGATGAGATTGTGCTGCTGAAGACCACAAAAATGTAGGGATCATGATGTGAAGTTAGTATAGGATACCTGCATAGATGTGCGAGTATGCATGTGTGAGAAGAGAACTACGCATGTCCACGCGAGCAGCAAGGAGGTATTTGAGGCCGAGCAGCCCACCGTGCCGCACCGTCCAGTTAGATTGCCACAATAGCAAAACTTTTAGCAGCTTCACCACGTATACCACGTACTGCTGCTGCAGCTGTATACACGCAACACCTGCGAACACAAGTTCTGTGTAAAGTAACTTATGAAGAGGGTCGAAAATTTATTTAGGTTTAGTGAAAAGCGATCAATGCAGAATGAATATATTGAAAAAAAGGTACAATATAAATCTTAAAATACTCTTAACAAAACAGAAAAATACACCAAAAAAGACACATGAAGAGTGAAGCCTTCGATGAAAGCCCAAATCAAATAGGTAATCACAAATCACATTAAAGAACTGGCAAAGGAGCCTGAAGAAAGTTTCAACAATACTAATGTTGCAAGGCCCCACCAAAGAAAGATTTCTAACCTAAAGCTTGAGCGATGGTCTCCCTGACGGGAGCGACGACCTGGTCACCCAGGTAGTCCCCGAAGGTGTCGAGGGCGAGCACACACACCAGCCTGTAGCACACGCCCCACACCCACCACTGGTGACGGCTCTCCATCTGCTCGTAGCAACGCAATTATAAGGCCGCTCAATAATACATAGCCAAAATAGAAGAAAAATGGTACACAAGTGCAATGATTTTTTAATATTTACAAAATATTCAATGGAAGAAAAAACACAAATTAAATTATGAAGTAGCACAACTTTGAAATATGACAATTAAATGGGCAAAATTTTATTTTGAACATATTAATAACAGAATCATTCCATTGGGTCAGCTGTGATTTCAATTTTATTATTTTCAATACTGTCAGTGATAATTAACAATGCAGATAGGTATCCTTGTCCAGCATAAGATACAATTAAAACAACTCCCAAAGATTTAACCTCCCTATTATAAAGTGCACGCATCAACTCCTGCATAGGTATATAATTTCATCAGCAATAATGAATATTGCGGCAGCCAACAATAACTATACGTTTCATCTGCACATACTAACAATCTTTATGTTACATGCCAACGAGATCAAAGTAAACCATATGTTTCATCCGAGTCATCTCCATTTGTTAACAGGGCTCCACGTAACACATTAGCGACATCAAAGTAAACCATACATTTCATCTGACTCATCTCCATTTGTTAACAGAGCTCCACGTAACGCATTAACGAGGTCAAAGTAAACCATACATTTCATCTGAGTCATCTTCATTTGTTTACAGAGCTCCACGCAACACATTAACATCAAAGTACAAGTGACCTGCACTGCAGACAACTTGTTCATCTTGCCCCCACAGCCACCATGCTTGGCAAGGAGCTCTCTGAGGGCAGTGGCAGCGCCGTGGCGCGTCTCCCAGCACCCGTTGAACATCTCCTCCAGCAGGCGTTTGCTTAGCCAACACAAAGGCCATTCATCTTCTTCCTGCACGCAAGAACCATGGAAAACGATAGAATTAAGCAGGGTTTCAATTAAACACATTGCTCCAAACCTCAAGTCAAATGGTTAAGAGCAACCATATACGGTACACGCCAGAATATGCCGTGCTAGTGGCCAGGGTTGGCAATGATTAAATCAAAATAATTAAATCATGTGATTGAATCACTTGATTTTTTTATAAAAAATCATGATTTTTTTTTTATTTTTTCATATATTTAAATATATTGAGTGGCAGTCTTTAATTTATATTGAGGTATTGTTATTAATGGTTTAGTATAAATGTACTATGAATGACAAATTGGTATATAAACTTGTTGCTTTTAGTGTGTATTAGGTTCCAGTAAATTGAATGTTTTTGGTACAGAGGCATCAAGTGTGCAATACATTGTACGCAGCTAGCAGTTTAGCTAATTCTTATAAGGCTATAAGTAGTCTTTAACTATTTGACTATTTGTTATATATTGATTACAATATACAATTTAAATGTGTTACCTAGCTTATACAGGGTGGGGCAGAACTGATTGAGCAGTTTTGAGGTTAAATAAAAGAGTAATTCAGGTACATAAAGAAAAGTTTATTTTCCTCAAGATTAGCATAACAAACCATTTAAAATACTTATGTTTTGAAAACAATATCAGAAAGATGGGGTTGGTTAGCTGCATCAGACTGTTGGAGTCGTTCTCGGAAGGTTTCTACGGCACGTTTACACATATGGCGAGGTATGGCCATAACCTCTGCTGCAATAATCCGTTCCTTTAGCTGTGGTAGGGTGTGATGGCAACTTCTGAACACCCTTTCTTTTAGATGTCCCCAAAGAAAGAAATCGCAAATGCTCAAATCAGGGGACCTTGCAGGCCACTGTAAATCACCCGTCAGAGTCTGGGAACATGCGTTTCAAAACATTGAGTGACATTCGGGCTGTGTGAGCTGTAGCCCCATCCTGCTGGAAGGACACTTTTCCCAATGCTTCATTTTCAACAATAATTTTCATCCTGGGCTGCAAGAAATTTTGCAACATTGCAGCATAGCATTCGGAATTCAGTGTTACGGTTACTCCCTCCTCTGAGAACGACTCCAACAGTGTGTTGCAGCTAACGGCCCCCATCTTCCAGATTTTGTTTTCAAAACATAGGTATTCTAAATAGTATGTTATGCTAACCTCTAGGAAAATAAACTTTCTTCTTTATGTACCTCCATTACTCTTAATTTACCTCAAAACTGCTCAATCAGTTCTGCCCCACCCTGTATATTGAGAATTTGAGATTGTATTGACCTTTTAGGCAATTAGAAAGATTTTCCACCCTAATACGAGTATTCTAATTGAAATATTTAATTTCAATCTTTAAATATGTGAATTTAAAACTAGAAACAAAACAATTACAATTATAAGACTATGTATAAAATAATTAAATGCAGTGAATGGATATAAAATATTTGAATTGTGCACATGTTTATTTCAAACAGTGTTAGATTTTCTCATAACTTACGTCTCGTTTCAAGTCGTATGAGGTTTGTTTGGTTATCATTCAGTTTATGTTTAGTATTGGTTTATTGGTCTGAATTAAATGGGTACAGTGCAGTCAGTCAATCAGTCACTACTAGTCGGTGTGTATAGAGGGTAGAGTCTGGTAGATTTATTTGTGCACTGTGCTATCAGCTACAGTCACTACTAGTCGGTGTGTATAGAGGGTAGAATCTGGTAGATTTATAGGACATAAAACTAGTAGATCTATTGATAGTGCTGTGCACTGTGCTATCAGCTACCTATGTGACTCTTCAATGTTTAGAAGATCTGCATTCCTGAAGTGTTTTTGTATATTGAAGCCAGTTAAATGGTCAATAATTAGCTCATTACCTTGCCCCATACAAACTTTACAAAGCTAATCAATAGACTTATAATAATTGTTTACCCAAAAATCCCTAAGTTGTAAACACTACCTTAGCCTGTTGACCATTATTGAAGGCAATAAGTTCCCTTTTTAGCCATCCATTATGATCCATGTACTTTTATTGTTAGTAGGCTAATTGCAACATAAAAAATAACACTTCTGAAAGATAAAAAAACTGAAAAAATCAAATAAACCAAAAAAATCATGAAGAAATAAAAAAAAATCATTGATTTTTTATTTTTCTGTTTTTTTTAAATCAAAAAAATCGCCAACCCTGCTAGTGGCCTTGTTGTGTGGTGGAGTCCAAGTACTCGTATTTTCAGTCACTGCAAGGAAGCAAGAGTAGCAGTTGCTCAGGGGTTCTTGAACAATTAGCTGAGTGTTATTAATCTTTCGTAGGTATTCATATAAAGTAACCTGACAGTTGATCAAGAAGACAGTTAAACTTAAGTGAGAATTTCAGACTGGAATGAAGGGGCCAAACCATTAAAATAACGAGTAACTAAAATTCAGATGTCAACCCGTTCCTCTGTCTTTTTTCTCTATTAGTACCTGCTGTTTCCATTCCTTAATGAATTGTAATTGTTTAATTACTTCATTGAATTAATAAAACTGGCAATAGCACAAAAGATTAACCAAAATTGTGGCTTGGGATGGTTGTAAGGTGGAGACCATCAAACCATTATTTTGAAAACCCTGTCGCATTGAGTCACCTAACACTTTATACAAAGAGCTTCCAATAACATAGTGTGTAGGCAGTACTAACCACGGAAGAGCCAAATAACCCTCAACACGAGGTCAGTAGCATGATAATTAGTTGCAGTTAGCACTTGAAAGTAATACTGGCCACCACCACTACCACTGTCTTCTTGTTTTAACAACTCAGCTAGGCTACAATTCCAGTCTATTACTAAATAGACAAAAAAGGATAATCAAAAAAAGGATAAAGGATGTGCGCACTAAAAGGATAATCAAATGGCGCGCACAACGAATAGTGCGCTTATCAGCTGTAGTCTTCATTGAATTGACTTACAACATTTGATTACATTTGTATCAAGCAAAAAGTATAAGATACAATATCGTTCCTTATAAAGATTTACCTTTGTTACTTAACATGAGAGCAAGGAGTTAGGCAGATGATACATAATTCTTTCTCTAACTTAAAAATTCAGTATGTGAATAATCAATAGAATGGAAGAAATTTCAGGAAATTTGATTGAATAGCGTACCTATTGCTTCAAATGACAGTTGCCTCAGATGGCAACTGTCAACGACTTGAGACGAGCAGTTCATTTGCGAACTACGAATGCAAAAGAAGAGAAATTTTTTGAGAAGAAAATCTGGCTGAAAAACTGAAAAGCTTTATCATCCCTAAAACTACAATGAAACTTTCAGCTCATCGGTAAAGCGTAGAATAATAAAGAGAAAATCGATGCAACTTACCGTGACATCAGGTGTATTTTCAGCCTGTAATTTCACCCTCTTACAATCATCCTGGAAACAACATAAAAAGAGGCACAATTACATAAGTTAATGGCCTGGTCAAAACGCAGGAAGCAAATAACTCAAAATAATGCATCATAACATGCGAGTATATTGTCACTCAGCTTCTGAATGTAAACAAGCTTATTAAAGTTCACACTTGAGATGACAAAGCAGAGCAGCCCACTGATGTCAGTTAAAATTAAATAAGTTCAACAGTTGACATTAAAGTCAACAGTTGACATTAAAGTCAACATTTGACATTAAAGTTAACAATTGACATTAAAGTCAACCGTTGACATTAAAGTCAACCGTTGACATTAAAGTCAACATTTGACATTAAAGTTAACAGTTGACATTAAAGTCAACCGTTGACATTAAAATCAACAGTTGACATTCAAGTTAACAGTCAACATTCAAGTCAACTGTCAACATTGAAGAGAAGTTGACATATAATGGCAATGCAGAGCAGCCTGCAGTGAGCACATTTACTCACCAGAGGCTGAGGTGCGCCGCGCTTCCCTCGCAGGCTGCAGGGGTTGAGAGCGGGCACGTGCGACAGCAGATCTCTTGGCATCTCCTTCACTTCAGCATCCTGAATTGTACCACGCAATATTAGCTCATTCTTAGTTCCATCACTTGATATATAAGCAGCTTAACTGTGAGTTTATCGCCGTAAATTGGACTGCCTTTTCGGTAAAAAACCACATCATCATGCATGTTCATAGCAATCATACCAGTTCCAAACCAAGGTAATGTGAATTGAGGAAGGGCATATCCATTCAAAATCAATTAACAAAAAAAATCAGATCTAACTCCTATTTAGAAATTAATAAATTGTACATGATGTGGGTTACAATCAAGTTAATTTGATTCAAGAGTTAGCATTTTACACGTCTTATAGTGTAAATATTTCATATTATGCAAATGATAACAAATTCTCACCATTTGGTTAAATATTACGCAGTTATACCTACTATAATAGATATTTTTTTGAGTGAGCTTGTACCCATGTGTTATATTAAGCAAAAATGATATAATGTATTTATTGCAAGCTTTTCACTTCACCACTGCAGGAGCTTGGAAAATTCATTCTGGTAGAATAGGCCATCACAATATTGATCAGTGAACAAAATTAGAGAAAGATTGAGACAATAATTCTGATAATCATAGTTAATGAAATGGCAACATCTGAATAAGTTCTCTAAAGAATAATCCCAATTCTTTACTACATATTTCATGGCAGCTACAAGTTTAATCAGGAACAAACCAATGCAGTGCAGCTAGGTACCCCTAAGAGGTCATCGTTGGTGATGATGTTGCTGGTGTCGAGACCAAGAGACGCTGCTACATCCAAGCCAAGCTTCTTATTGAGCACAGAACGCTCCTTCTGCAGTCGAGTTGCTGCATCTTCTGAAAATCAAAACATGAATCTTTACAACTGATTATATCCATGCCACATTGTGCAGGAATGAGTTTTCTAGCCTTTCTATGCTAACTTCTGTGCATTTATCTAAACCTATCATCTCTTGTTAAACATCACGGGTCGCCTGCCGAAGACCACGACTGCCCTGGATGTAATGGACCATCATGATTCCTGCCTTCCNAGGCCCTCGGTCGAACGGCCACTTGTCGAAGGACGATAAATTTTGGAACAGAACTATGCTATCTGAAACCTAACCTCAGATGCGGTGAACGTAAAATTATGTAATTTAACGACGCCCGGAAGTCAGATTCGATCCGCGGCCAGGTGGTGCACGGCAGGTGGTGGTCAAGGCCGGAAGAGGACAAAACTGAGTGGTGCACGGCTGATTGGTGGATATCCGGAGAGATCCAAGGCTTATTGTGCACAAAATTAGTGGTGCACGGCTGCGCTCCCAAACATCACTATCAACTACCTACTGCGCACAGGTCAAGCAATAAACTTAATAAGTGAATGAATATCATGTCTCATGTCTTGCCAAGTGCTAGAGCGGGAAAGGTTTTGAGACACCAACTGCCCCATGCACTTCAGGAGTGCAGATGTAAGAGGTGAATAGTTTCCCTTGTCCAAGTCTGGATCTGTTAAAACTAACAAGTTAAAACCTAAATAACCCTTGAGATGCCCCAGTCAAGCAGAAGTGCTTTATTTACTCAAGATGGCTGAGAGCAGACGAGGTATAATTTTTAATAAAATATGTATATATATTGGCAGGCAATCATGAGCACAATGAGTTCAAGAAACCATACCTGTATTGTGAGCAATTTCATTTTGAGGGATCTCATCATGAGCCATGAGCTGATGTCCACACTCGAGCACCGTCTGCACAAGAGTGACACCATCTGAACAGATGATGCTCCAGTCACCCGTATATGTTGCATCTGTGACGAAAAATGCTGACATTAAAATGGCGGCAAATAAAAATTCTTGGCATCTTAAGCAAAGAAACAATAATAAACATTGATGAGGAACAGGAAGAAAATTATTTAGTTAAGGATATTATGAGCATATTAATATATGCATGCATTTACTCATCAAAAAGCAGTGCAGAAAAGAGGACATGAAACCAAGAAGAAACTCACTCTCTTTAATTGATGGCTGAGGTTCCCATGGAGGTATATTGGTTAGCACACAGCCCAGGGCAGTTCCAGCAGCCACTCTCGTGTCCCAGCTTTTGGAGAGAACTAGCAGCACAAGTCGCTCCAGGAGAGCACGAAGTTCCTTGGACTCGCTGGTGTAGCCCTTTACTACATCTCCAAGCTGACTGGCTGCTGCTTTGCGGGTGACAGCACTGCTGCTGCTCTCCAGCAAGATAAACAAGCGGTCTAGTCTGCAATTGACATAGTAGGCAATTGAATTAAAAATAAGAAAGATGACTAAATTAATAAGATTGAAGTAAGGAATGGAGTAAGCATAAAAGATGGCAGTTCAATTACACAGAAATTACACAGCACAATTGAACTCTAGTAAGTAGTAACTTGCCAAGAAATGATTTGATGACTGTAATGAATCTTTGTGAGCAGTTAAAATTCTATGGCATGACATGTTTTGAACATCAAAACAATTATGAGAGATCAAAGGAGCTTTATATATGTACTCAAATACTTCAAACTTGCTAATGATCATTTGAATCATACCAATATATGGAGCAAAATTTGAAGCCATGTATCTTACAACAAGCATGAACTAATGTCATCATTATGCAAGTTTAATTAACAAATATCATTAACACAAAATTGATATTTTGTAATTTAGAAATGGAGTTGGCAAGTGAGTTTGATTGGAGCACACCTTGTCCTTGGTGAAAAATGCTAAAACATTGTAGTTCTAGGGCTAAGAACTAATCAAGTTCCCTTAATTATTTGACTAATGGGCTGGTTCTTCACAATCCTGGACATGAACAAAAATTTCAGCAACTGTATTCCTTGACTGCAAGCTATGATTATGTACATGGGAAGTAAATTTTACACCAGTGAGGAGTGCAAAAGGCATTATATTTAACAGAGATGTGTGTATACAGACAGGAAAATATCTGCTTTCAGAGCTGAAAAGAAAATACGTTGCAATTCCTATTGAATTAAGATTTCTCATAGTAAAACTATACATGGAATCTCACTGAGAATGCATCATGTTATTGAACTATATTTCTAATTATCCAAAACATCTGACTCTTGAATCACAAAGTCATAGTAATCTGCTCAAGATCCTAAGTCATTATTCTCAACATATTGGATTGGAAAAACTAAATTTGCATCCAATATTTTCTGTCTAGACTGACTTCAAACTGCTGTGTTCTTCAGCCAAACACATGTAAAATACATTATAAAGATAGATCTTAACATGGATAAAAATGTGTTTATATTTATTGTGATAAAATTAGATACTTCATTGGAATATCCAATAGTCTTAGAAAAAATGCAATCTCCAAGTCATGACTTGATTCTTATTTCTTAGCAATTGATATCAGAATTCACTCATACATTTTGGAAGTTGGGAAAAAAATTAAATCCAAATTGAAATTGGCAACTCATTGGTATGATTAGTTTAGCCACATGGCATTACATTTTCACTTTATTTGAAAACAAGAAAAACCTTTTTGTATTTCAATTAAATGCAATTGAAACCTAATTTACACATTTTGTTTTTGGCAATTTAAATAAAAATTTCCTTGAACACTCTTGTGCCTGGTTCCAAAGAGTTTTACAACAGAAAAATGTTGATTTTAACAGTCCATGAAAAGGCATGAAGGCAAGATTAGAAAAATCTATCTCTAAACAAAAATATTCTAGCTTTCAGACAAGACACTCTGATAAATTTGAAATTGTGCTGCTTGCTAATGTATTTATAAAATGTGACATATTTCATCTGGCTAAGCATTTGCAGCTTCAACAATGGCAAAAAAAACTAGTCACAGCTACAGAAGTAGATGCATTTTTTGCATTTAATTAACCCAAATATTTGACAACCTTTAAATTTCAAATCAAACCTAGCAAGTGAGCCATTTAGGGCTAGTTTTGTATTCACACAAAATTTCAAACTCAAGTCTATCTGGAAAGACTGGAATAATGGGCAGAATTTTCCAAGAAAAATTGGCAGTTAAAATGAAAAAAAAGTCTGTTCACATAGGTAGACAATTTCATTTTCAAGCGTTTCTATTTATATGATTGTCCAATGTTTATTTCTTCTGATAAAAAATTATAAATAGGCTAGGCTACCTACACAATTTTGCTAACAACTTCTGGAATTTACTTAAAAAACAATTGCATTTCTCCCTATATTTTTTTGTAAAATTCTACCCAATATTTCAGATTGCCCAATTCACAACTGAAAAACTTTTTACCAATAAAAAATTTAAAAAGTTTGCAAATTGCAGGTAGGGTAAACGCGGTATATTCCGACACATTAAGGATGCATCGAGAAATTAAAAACTATAAAAAAATAACCGTATGCGTTACTTGAGTTCTGTTTGCTTTATGCGACTCGCAATACACCGTACTACACCCAAGCAATGATGAAACTTCACAAAATGTTGCCATATTTATTTAAAAGCCTTTAGAATGCAAACCTACAAAATCCCTATATTCCAACACTGTGTGTGGCATTATTCGGCACGTGATGAGGCGTATTCCGTCCGCGCTTCAAATTCTACTGATACGTAATGCCGTCATCCACGTGTTTGAATTCCGTTTGCTGTGTGAGCTGTATTGGAATACCACACAGCTTTGAATTAGAACACTAATGAATATTGAACACTACTTAATTATGCTTTTAATCAACAACTATTAAGCTTTTAATTAAGAAAATTTTAATTTTTGTACATAGCTTGGAACAATCTGTGTGTGTCCAATTCAAGTTGTGACGGAATTAGTTTTCATGTGTCTAAATCCATTTCTCAACTTAATCATCTATTAATTTATTTACCTCTTGAAATCAGCAAATACATGTATACTTAAAGGATTCCTAATATATTCACAGACGTATTTAAAAGTCTCAAACCATAATCTTCTTCCTATAGTTATACATAATACAAACAGTTATTCACTATTTGGTAGAGCAAGGTCAACTGTCAAATTTGACACATTTTTCGATGATCTCACTGGGTAGCGTGCATTGTCTCTCATTGGACCTCAATATTTTCCCGCTAGATGGCCAAGACCTAGTGCTTTGGCAGAAGTTCGATGCGCAAATGTATGACGTCACCATTTCAACCATCAACAAACGCATGGAACTAAAACAAAGCTTAATATAAAGGAAAAACTAAAGAGGTGACGGAATTACCCACAATGTCGGAATATACCGCGTTTACCCTAGGTAAAGAATTGATAAATAACTTGACAAATCCATGCTTCACCATAGCTTAGAAACTTAAATACTTTTCACTCCAGCAAATAGCAATAGCAATAACTTAACAAGCCTACAAAGTAGGCTACAAGGCAATGATATTTGAAAAGGAATAAGCAGTTATATGTGCTCCATTGAAAAATATTCTACAGCTTCAGATCTTTCATGATAGCTATCATGAATCATGATTATATTGATGACATGCCAAGAAATAGCTAGGCAAGAATTACTCAAATTTTCCTCACAAATTCTAGCACTTCCAGGTTGCCAGTTGCTGCAACATAAATATCAAATTCAAGATTTCAGTGATCTTATTGCTAGAATTGAACTGTGCATACAAAATTATTGTGAAGCAGGCTGCCTTCATCTGATCTGAGAGAATTTGCCTTTTTCATAATACCAAATATTTCTCTGAAAGTCTGAAAGCTTCAAGATTCCACGTAGGCTAGCTAGTATCCTAACATTCCTATCAAAAATGCACACTGCACAGCATTACTTGGCAGGTAAATTAAACATTTCGCCATAATTTGTATAGGCTAGCTACACATTGAGATTAAATTTCAAATTTTTCTTCTAAAATAGAGATGAAATTAAGGAAGAATTCAACTTGAAAATTGATGCGATGGTTTCGTACAAATACCGTACCTGCTACTCATATCTTATAAATAATGCAAGGGAGGATCCCAGCACAGCAAAAAGTAGGTACAAGGATAAAGACGACTTTTAACTCTTTGTACTAATTAATCCAACGTTTATTCAAGATAAATAATACACTAATGCATCGAAAGTTAAGTGTTGATGCGGCTAGTCTATATTCACATGAACATTATTACTAAATGATGAGAATTCGATAAAAAAGTAAGTAAGCTATTTCACGCCACACTTATAAATGTACAACATAGAAGACCCTACCTCTGTCGAGATCATTTTTATACTGTGAAGAGCTAGGTGGAACACTCAGGTTTTGCTGCCACCCGCGGCTTCTGATTGGCCGAGAGATATTTAGACGCATGCGCAGTACATACGTTTGCAGGGGAGCAATTTAAACGTTTGGTTAATAGCTTAGAACCTTCAACAAAGAAAATAAAGGCTTGTTCACTATAAAGAAAATTAGATATCGAAATTACATGTGTTTTTTCTAATATCTAGCAGGCCACATGTACCGCCAGTTTTATTTTATCTAACCGAAAATTACCCACTCTCAAAAAATTTCATACTTAAATATTATTTATAGGTCATATGCTTTTGCCACTACACTGGGGCTGGCAAATTAATTTGAGGTCCTTGCAAGCAACCGTTATACATGATACCGTTTTGAAAGCTTTGGGATGAATTTTTGGGAGTAATTTTCATCGCAGGTTTTATGCGCATAAATTTGTCAAATCATCGTCAATTTTGGTTACATTAAAGACGCAGCTATATGTTCATAATACGCTCATGCAAGCGCTGTCAGGGTTTGCCGGCTTCATTCCAATTAGCACGCTAAACGCGTAGTTTTAGCAAGTTTTTACAAGTACCTATTTCAACATAACATTATTTTAGCAACGGTTTATAGATTCGAAACCCTCACGAAACCCTCAGCTCGTAATATATTCAACACTTGATTTACACTTCTCCGTGATCGCCAGCCAGCTCGTCTCGGGTTCAAACGTAGAACGCATCGCGCAACCGAACAAAACAAAAGTCAGTCAATGCTTAATTAATGAATTCGCATGAAATTCGGAACAAAACTAATCAATCTAATTACGTCGAAATTTGAATTGTTTTATATGCATATGTCACTTATGTATAATTTAAAACGAAAAATTTAACTTTTTCACAACCGAAATGTTCGTTCTAATTGGAAACGAAGCGACCTTATAATCTGTTACGATTTCAATTTTAGCGTATTGATAATAAATAATCTGCTATGTTTAGAATTCCGTGTAAATCCATTTAGAATTGATGGACTTATGAATGGTTCGGTTGAGCACCGGTTACGTTAGGGGTTTGTATGATATACTAGTACCTATTATAAAGTGAAGTAGGCGCTGAGGAATAGGCCTAATATGGTCTGTCGCCGATTCTTGTAGAATAGAATAGAATAGAAGTGTCGGCATTGAAGAAATAGGCCCATGGCCTGTTGCCGATTCTTGAACTTTTCGTGACTTGATTCACAAAGGATCCGGCCATAAAGGATCCAGCCATAACTGACGATTAATTGAGATAGCAGCTGGACTTATTGTCTGGTCAGTAATTTGCTATGCATTTTAAGACTAAACATATGCTCCTGCATAGCTTCGTCTAGTCTGTTTTTGAAGATGTTCATACTCGGAGCTTCAACGATGCTATCTGGGAGGCTGTTCCACATGTCTGTGACTCGAAGCGAGAAGAAATGTTGTCGCACGGATGTGTTCCAACGCTGTTTTTTTTTTAGTTTATAGCCGTGGCCCCTGGTTTTGGTTGGTTGGTTGTACTTTTCTTGAAGTGTTCACAGGAGATCTAAAAATAGGTCCTTTGACCTGATCTATTCAAACTGACGATAGTTTGAAATAATTACCAGACTTCCACCAGGTCCGATTTGGTGCTAGGCATTACAAGATTGAACACATATTTTCTCCATATACTGTATCTAGTCTGTTCATGAACGCGTTCATACTCAGAGCGTCAACGATGCAATCAGGGAGGCTGTTCCACACGTTGGTGACTCGAAGCGAGAAGAAATGTCGTCACGTGGGTGACTGGCAACGCCGCTTTTAGCGCATTTTCTCATTTATGGAAAAAATGTACTATTGTGCTCGCCATGTCCGTCTGTCTGTCCGCCCGTCCGTGACCTCAAGTTTTCGTCGACGAGAAAATGCGCGAGTTGCGGTGCGATTGATCGTTTTGCATTCATTCCGCTCTTATGTTAACCCAATCAAAGAGAGTTCTGTCCTAACCGTTGAGGCAAGAGGTTCTTTGTGCTGAGCTCCCGTGACAGTAGCCGGCTTCGGCCGGCTGCTACGTCATTGTTCTGGAACTATCTTTCTCGAACTTCGAAAATGCTCTGCTGTCCCGCTCCGAGGCGTTGAGCCGGCGAATGGTACGACCAGCTAAATGCTCCCAGCATCAAACTGCAAAATTCGTTACGAAGATTTTAAGTTGCCTCCATGTGTGGTTAGTGCCCCTGGTTTCGTGGTTAGTGCCCCCAGGTGAGTGGTTAGTGTCCCCAGGTGAGTGGTTGGTGTCCCCAGGTAGTGGTTAGTGTCCCCAGGCGAGTGGTTAGTGTCCCCAGGTAGTGGTTAGTGTCCCCAGGTAGTTAACAAAATTCAGTCAAATTCCTTGAACTGTTCTGACATGGGGCCGCATTGAACCAGTCTTCAGAGGCTCCCATAAATTCCAATTAAAGAAAAAGAGAAAATGCGCTCTCTGTCACTCACTGCAGTGATCAAGTAGAGAGTTATTAGCGCTTTTTCTCATATATGGAAAAAATGCACTATTGTGCTCGACATGTCCGTCTGTCTGTCTGCCTGTCCGTCCGTCCGTGACCTCAAGGTTTCGTCGACGAGAAAATGCGCTCTCTGTGACTCACTGCTGTGAGTACTGAGTTGTATTTTTTAAGTTTATAGCCGTGGCCCCAGGTGTTGATTCTTGTTTCGAAGCTAGCAATCCTTCTGGGACCTTGTTTAAACAGTGGGTTTACTTGTATACTTCAATGAGGCCCCCACGCAGACGTCGATAACAGAGGCATGGAATCTTCATCTATTTGATAAGACTTGCCCTTCAAGCCAGGAATTATCCTTGTTGCACGTCTGTGAACACTATCTAATCATTTTTTCAAATTTCGGTGACCACACGGAGTTTCCAAACTCTAGCTTCGGGCGCACGACAGAAGCTGACGAGCTGACGCTGACCGGACCTAGCTTTTAAAAACTTCCGTTGAGGTGGCAGCAGCGCAACACAGGTCGACTGCCGCAAAATTTGGATTAAACCATGGGTGAACCATGGGGTTATATCTAGTTTCCCAAATTCCCACTGATATAATAACCTTGATGGCAGAGCTGGGAGTGCATATAGTTATCACTTTTCTGCTAAAGATTTGTAAATTCATTGGTAATTTCTGTGCTTACAGCGCTGTTTCGCAATACAGTCAGCCATTTTAGTGCGAGACACCCCAAAATTTCACTTTGAATTAGATTAATCCTACTGCGCTCCCTAAAATTTGTTTTGTGGATAATTTGACTGTAACAGGGTAGCCTTAGTACCTTGGTAGTACTGTTGGATACGTAGCCGTGCACCATCAAATTTGTGCACCAATCAGCCTTGAAAGGAACGCCTAACATATTTCCGGATGACCACCAATCAGCCACGTATTGACTCTGCCGTTAGTAACCAGCGCATGATTTCCTCTTTCTTTCAATTTTAGTAGCTTCACGCCGCCATATTCTGAAGCGAATAGCCGAGAGAGCAATGGTTGTCTACCGCTGAACGTTGCATCGAACCATCACTTCATACCCTGACTTTAGCTCAAACTGTAACTTGCGGACAAAGTACTTCGACCAACCAGCCCAGTTTGCCTGTGGAACTGCATGCATCCTGTTGTGCACCACCAGACGATCACTTTTAGCTCACAACATCCAGGGTTAGGTTTCAGAAAGCATAGTTGTGTTCCAAAATCTATCGTCCGCCGACGAGTGACTTCCGAAGCTTCGCTAAATTACGTAACTTTTAGCTCACAGCATCTGAGGTTAGGTTTCAGATAGCAAAGTTCTGTTCCAAAATTTATCGTCCTACGACGCGTGGCCGTTCGACCGTGGGCTGATTCGACACACGGGACAGATTTGGACGGCTCCGGCGCGCTCCATCAGGGTGGTGTAAAATTTTTTCGCGTATTGGCAGACGACGCTGGGCCATACGACGTCAGGCTATTTTCCTGTGGGCTGATTGGTCTAATAATGAATGTGATCATTCATTCAATGAATGTGATTCAATGTGGGATTCAATGAATGTGATCAGTCTGGTGGCGTGCGGCTGATAATGTTACAGTCAAGAAGTGTTGTAGGTTACGTTCTTTAGGGAAGGGATCATGATAGTCCATTCGACGCACGGCAGTGGTGGTCTCCGACAGGCGCCCGTTCTGTTCTTAGGTTATTTTGACAAATGATTTTTTTTAGAAAATTGCTTTAGACAAGGAATGTATTACTTGGTTCTATTTCTATAAGGTATTTAGCTCGGTATGTTAGGTAATAAATATTTTCTGAGCATTTAAAAGTTTTGATAAATTTATAGGAGTGATTTTCAATGTTCACTTTAGCCCCGTAGTGACTACGTAATCTGTCTACCGCAGAAATGGGTTTGCAAAGAACTCATTTCCATGTGCTATTTATAAATATTTGTAGCAGCCACCCTTACTTCTTGATTTGGTCCACTCAAGAAATAGATCACTTTTTGTCAACATGTTTAGTTAAATTTTCTTCTGATCAGTCCATCACCAGCTCTGTAACCGAAAGCAGCATAACTAGCTCATCGTCTTTCAACTAAGCATCTGCCTCACCTTTGTGCATCTCGTCAGCTTCTGATCCCGCATTAGCTACCTGGTGATCTGTACATATTCTTCCGACAATGCAACCTCTTTCTAGCGCGGTCGAAAAGCTTCATAGTTGTTAAGTGGCACTCGAATCCGAATAAAAGTAATTCTGACCACTAACTAGCATTATACGTTTTTTTACGATCGGCAAGTCAAGTATAATTCGCTGTAGGCTGGCGATTAATGAGGCATTGACCGTAATTCAGCAGAATTTAGATCGTAATCATAGTGAAATTGGTATAATAATTGATTTTTGAAAGAAAGTCATCAGAGTAAATGTGCGCACAGTAAACTGTTATAACTACATTTCATATAGAAATTTCTCATTAATGTTGGACGGGTCCATTTTCGTCC